GGGGGTGCTGTGTGAGTGCATGGGGCCTCTGCGGCCTGCAGGCCCCCTGGAGTGTACGTTCTTGGTGCCACTGGCTCCTGTGGCTATGGTGGTGGTGAGAAGCTCCTATAGGACAGTGGTCATTTTCAGGGAAGCTAAAAGTTAAGTCTCCTTTCACCAAACATAAGGAGGTGTCTGGTGAGGCCAAAAACCAGGTACAGGGACAGGTACAGGCAGTGGTTGGGGCCCTTGCCCTCCACGTGGAAGAGCTGGGCCAGGCCTCAAGGCCCGAGTTCCCTGCCCTGAGCATGGAAGGCATTTCATTAGGAAGCTGTATATCCCTGCTCCTGTGGGCAGGAAGAGTCTCTGTGGTCTCCATCAGCTGAGCTATTCTGGGCCAGCCTTGCAGCGTCATCGTTCCCACCTGGCTGAGGAATTCCTAGAGGAGGGACCAAAAGATGCCCCCCGACCCCTAGGGGAGGTGACCTTGGCTTTGTTGCTTAAGACGTTCTCATAGCTCCCTGCCTTCCAGGGCACACATGAGGCCAGTTTGGATCTCCACAGAGGAGACAATTGCTAACATTTAGGAGCTGAAAGTATGTCATGGAGACCCACGGGGAGCTCCAGGAACTCATTTCTTCTCCCTGGACGCCCCCTCCTTTCTCCTGACGGCTGTTATAAGCTTGGTTCGTCTGTCTCTCACTTTCATCCTGAGTGTCGGGATCCAGCTATCCCTGTTGGTGCCACAGGGATCTTGGTGCTGCCTCTCAGGACCTGAGGGGCTGGGCTCTGACCTCCAGCAACCTCTCTCTCCCGAGCACAGCCTCATCCCAGCCTGGGGGTTAGCAGAGCTCCTAGACAAGGGTGCTCCTTGTGAGACACTTGTGTTCAAAGCTGGAAGTAAGTTGACTTTCATACTCAGTTTGAATAACTGAGAACTGATTTGCTTCTGTCCACACATGTATAGCTTGATTCTCTCCCAACCATTTGGAAAGACTTGTGTGAATTGTCTTTCCCAGGATTAGAGGATTGGAAACACGAAGGCAGCACCTCTGTCCTTGAACGTGGTGAAGGGATGCATTAGAGGTGCTAAGCTGCGGCCTCAGAACCCATGTGGCCCTGAGAGCTTGGGTTTTGTCCCATGAGCAATGGGAGTTATAAGTAGGTTTCTGTAAGTAGCTTTTATTATTGCATTAGGTTTTCCTTATTATAAATGTAATGAGTGATATATGTTTATTGCACACATTTTAGAAAATACAATTAAAGGAAAGATAAACCCAGAAATCTCATTTTCCGGGGGTATCACTGTTTACATTTTCTATATGTCTTTCACCTTTTTTCTATGCACATAATTCTTAAAAAATGATACCATGGGCTGGGCGCGGTGGCTCAAGCCTGTAATCCCAGCACTTTGGGAGGCCGAGACGGGCGGATCACGAGGTCAGGAGATCGAGACCATTCTGGCTAACACGGTGAAACCCCATCTCTACTAAAAAATACAAAAAATTAGCCAGGTGTGGTGGCAGGCGCCTGTAGTCCCAGCTACTCGGGAGGCTGAGGCAGGAGAATGGCGTAAACCCGGGAGGCAGAGCTTGCAGTGAGCTGAGATCCGGCCACTGCACTCCAGCCTGGGCGACAGAGCGAGACTCCGTCTCAAAAAAAAAAAAAAATTGATATCATGTTGTATATGCTTTTCTGATGGCCACAGAGCATCTCACATGGGTCTTTGTGTGGATCTGCTGTAATTTATTTGACCATTTCCCTATTTTTGTATATTCCAAAAGTTTTTAAAGAGTAGGCTAATAGGAAATATGTAGCTTTAACACTACCCCAAAAGATTTGTGGAGTATTATATTACTCAGATTATTGTACTTCCTTCATACTCTTCCCTTTAGAGTGTTGTTTCTTTAAAGTTCTGAGCCAAGATTAAAAGCCCGGGCTGTGGGGCCCAGGTGTCTCGGACTTGGTTATGGGCGTCACTAGGCTTCTGCAGAATCAGAGCCTCACTGGTCTTCAGTCTAGGTAGACGTGGTCTGAGAATTCCTGTGAAGCTGCTGTTTCAGAGATGAGACTGAGCGTTGAACACTGTTTTTCCTGCTAATAGAAGTGGTTATTGCAAAAGATGAATGTAGCATCTGAGAAAAAAATACCCCCCACCTCTTCCTCGGATTGCTTTGGGAATTCACTGTCCATGGGTTTCATGCTGCCTCCCTCTTTGGGAGGGAGGTGACTTTCATGTGCATTTGGTATCAAAAGTCTTTAAAGGGCTGTTGCCTGCCATGCACACCGGGTGGAGGGGCCACCTTGGGACTCAGCCCAGGGAGCCGTGCTCCTCGCTGTGAGGGGGCAGCTGGTGGCATTTGCCATGTGACCCACCAGATCCCCTTGTCTGGGGTCACCTCCACCAGCCCATGAGGAAGGAGCACCAACGCTCAGATTTGCCTCCCAGCATGGGCAGCTCAGCCAAGGCAGGACGGCCCTGCACGTGCTGAGGACGGGGGCGTTTCTGAGAGGGAGGAGGCTAGGAAGGTGGTGACGTGGGCCTGGGTGGCCCTGAGATGATATGTCTGACGTGTGATGTGTGACATGTTACAGGCACCTGGAGCAGGGGTACCGGGAAAGGCTGAGCCTCCTGCGGTCTGAGGTGGAGGCAGAGCGAGAGCTGTTCTGGGAGCAGGCCCACAGGCAGAGGGCCGCGCTAGAGTGGGACGTGGGGCGCCTGCAGGCTGAGGAGGCTGGCCTCCGTGAGAAGCTGACCCTGGCCCTGAAGGTAGGGGCATCCCCAGCGCATCCAAGAAGCTGGGGGGAGCCTGAGCGTTCCCTATACCCATGTCATCCTGGGTGAGGATCCAGATCACACCTGCCAGTGGCCTTAAGCTTATGTTTCAGGGCAGGGCCTGAAGGAGCACCTGCCGCAGTGAGGAGGTGTCCCACGCGCTGCAGAGCAGAAGGGGTCCTGGCTTGCCAGCAGGACGTTGCCCCTCCTTCCCCACCACTCCCACTCTCTGCCCTGGGCCAGGTGGACTTGAGGTCAGGGAGGACCAGCACCTGCAGCCAGCAGTGCTTCAACCCCAGAAACCAGGAACACCTGTGGGGGCAGCAAAGCGACCAGAACCTAAAGCCCAGCCTGCCTGAGGCTGGGTTTGTGGCCTGGAGCTGATAGGGGGGTTGATGGGCTTTGTTGAGTGTCACACCTGTCGCGGATGTTGGCTCAGTGAGGCATTGCAGTGGGACAGGGTGCTGGCCCTTCCTGTACTGGATTCCTGCTCTGCTCCCACGTTGACTCCAGTGAGGCATTGCAGTGGGACAGAGGTGCTGGCCCTTCCTGTGCTAGTTCCTGCTCTGCTCCCACCTGTGTCCTCCTCTCCTAACTCCCCACACCTGCCCCACCTCCCAGAAGGAGGGGCTGAGCAGCCTGAGCTCCCAAACAGCCTTGCTCTCTACCCTTCTCACCGCAGTCCCCCACCGTCTGCAGATGCTGCCTCCTCCCCCAGTGACGGCCATCTGAGCTGTCCTGGTGCAATATCAGATCGATGGTTTAGGAATGGCTCTGAAAGAATGCCTTTTCTGTAATACTTTTGCAATGCTTTTGTATGCCCCACCCTTTCTTTTTTTTTTTTTTTTTTTTTGGTGGAGTCTTGCTCTGTCGCCCAGGCTGGAGTGCAGTGGCATGATCTCCACTCACTGCAAGCTCCACCTCCCAGGTTCACACCATTCTCCTGCCTCAGCCTCCTGAGTAGCAGGGACTATAGGCTCCTGCCACCACGCCTGGCTAATTTTTTGTATTTTTAGTAGAGTCGGGGTTTCACCATGTTAGCCAGGATGGTCTTGATTTCCTGACCTTGTGATCTGCCCGCCTCGGCCTCCCCAGGTGCTGGGATTACAGGCGTGAGCCACTGCACCCAGCTCCCCCACCCTTTCTTGTGTGACTCATGGCCTTTCTGAGCACAGAGTAATGGAGGGGACAAGAGAAGTGAAGATGATGGGGTAGCCACAGTCTGGGTGGGCTCTGGGGTCTGTCCTGGGAGGCTGGGGGCCATCCCCGGCACAGCCGCCCGCACAGCACCAGGTGCCTCGCGAGCAGCGGGTGGGGGTTCTTTCCTGATGCCCAGTGCTGTGGGGAGCAAGCCTCTCACCTACATCCTGCACACATCCCCTCCGTCCTGCAGGAGCCTGATGAGCCACTGGCCTGTGTCTCCTAGGAAAACAGTCGCCTACAGAAGGAGATTGTGGAAGTGGCAGAAAAGTTTTCAGATTCGGAGAGGCTGGCCCTGAAGCTGCAGAAGGACCTGGAGTTTGTGCTGAAGGACAAGGCGCGTCCCTTTGCTGACAGTGCGCCTCCAGAGGGAAGGGCCTGCTGGGCAGAGTGGGGGTGGCGGGGGTGGCGGGGGAGAGATGCAGCAGGTAACGGAATTCGGTATTCTCCTAAAATTTTGAATGAAGAGAAAGTCAGTGTGAGGCCTTCCCTCTGCTTCCTCTGCGTGACGATGTGGGGGGCTGTCTGCCCGCGCAGCACAACTGCTCACTAGCGACAGCTTCAGTGGTGGGGGGCGTGGAGGGAGAGCAGGGCCCTCCCTGGCTGTCACCTCGGGAGGAGGACGGGAAGAGGGGCTGCCCAGGGCCAGGATCTGGGCTCCAGGGATGAGTGTGGCCACCTTAGATAAATCTGGAAAATCCTTCTGCCTTGTGACCTTCTAGACAGGGGAGTAGGGAGAAGGAGGGGGGATGGTGGCTGTACCTGGAGATGCAGCGCCTGGTGTTGGCGGAAGCTGGGCAGGTTCTTGGAACCCAGGGGCTGGAGAAGCAGGTCTCCCCTCTGTCTGAGGCCCACCTGTGACTTCCTGCGTGTCTGACTTTCAGCTGGAGCCACAGAGTGCAGAGCTCCTGGCCCAGGAGGAGCGGTTCACAGCAGTCCTGAAGGAATACGAGCTCAAGTGCCGGGTACGTGCCCCGCTCTGTCTGCCTTGTAGTCTCATGTCCAGGCTCTGGGTCTCCACATGCAGGTGGTTCACAAGAATGCAGGAGTTTCTGCTCCAGGGAGAGCCTCTGCTTGCGGCCGTTCTCGACCATGGCCTTGCCACACTCCTAGACTTAGGGTTCCCTGGCTCTCGTTGCCACCTATCCTGAAGGCCACCTCTGTGTGTCCAGGCACCATGCAGGGCATTGTCGTCTTCTGTTGTTCATGTTTAGCTTTCCTGGGCCAAACCTGCCATGCGTGTCCGTTTGTCAGTTGGAGACACAGGAGTGCAGGGCGCAGTGGATGCAGTGAATGAATCTTAAACCCAGGAGGACCCGCGTACACCCTTAACGTTCTCAAGGACCCCAAAGAGCTTTTGTTGATGTAGGTTATGTGGATTAAATTTAATATTTACCATGGTAAAAATTAAAGTGGAAATTTTTTAAATTTATTAATTTATTTAAGAATAATAATGTAATAATAGGTTAGCATAAATAGCCTATTTTGGGGAACGTAGCTGTTTTCCAAAAGGTCGACAAACTAGCCAGGCATGTGCTGTGGTGTTGCATTCTTGCCAGCCTCCTCACTGGCCGGCCCAACAGAGGACGGGATGCTCAAACCTGCTGTTGCGTCAGTCCCTCGTGATATCACATGACGCAGAGCATCTGGAACTGCCATGTGCCCCGAAAGAGAATGAGCGCAAGGAGGCCGGAAGCAGTGGCTCACAAGGTCAGGAGTTCAAGACCAGCCTGGCCAAGATGGTGAAACCCCATCTCTACTAAAAATACAAAAATTAGCTGGGTGTGGTGGTGCATGCCTGTAGTCCCAGCTACTCAGGAGGCTGAGGCAGGAGAATCACTTGAACCCAAGAGGCAGAGATTGCAGTGAGCCAAGATCGCGCCACTGCACTCCAGCCTGGGCGACAGAGCGACTCCTTCCCCCCTCCAAAAAAAGAGAATGAGCGCAAAGAAGTCACTTCACACCTCAACGTGCCACACATTCATCTGCCCCGCTGGGCCATGTGTGGGCTGCTGGGAGGCCTGGACGTCCACCCTCACAGCCTGTGTTTCTGGTTCTGTCGGACACAGAGTGACTGATCAGGTTCAGAGCCTGCAGTTGGACCACCACCCTCCTTGGCACATTTTGAATGCAAGCTGCCAGGTTCTGGGGCATTCCAAAGCCTCCATTTCTTCCCCTCCCTGCTCACCTGAGCATGCAGAGACCGTGGAATGTTGTAAAGCTCAGGTGTTTCCCTAGATCTGCAAGAATGGTTCTGTGAGGAAAGCCCGGTTCCAGTGCCTTGAAGGCCACCTCGCAGACGAGCCGATGGCTGGCCCAGCCAGCGCCCCATGGGTCTCACCCCACAGGACCCATCCTCTTGAAGAAAATTCTGTGTAGAAGAAAACAAACTAGAGTTGAGTTGGGTTGATTATTAACAATACAGAAAAGTTACTTTATCTCTAGTCATTCACCACATGGTTCTTTCATAGGCAGCTCCTTGTTAGGTTTTAATTTACCAAAAGTTAATTTATGCAAAACTTACACAGAAACATTTTTTTCACCATCAAAACCCCAGTCGTTGACTCACCTGCCCCTCTTACATCCTGGCATACAGAGGGTTAGGTCCAAACGAGTTATAACAGTAGGCACTGAACCCAGCCAAGCGCTCAGCATCAGGAATGGCTGGGCATGTTACGACTGTTGTTCTAACAGAACCCTGTATAGGCTTGAAAATAACATGGAAGCGGACGATTTTAGGCATGTAATTCTCTCCAGGCAGCATTGCCAGGTGAACAGAGATAAGACACCTGCATCCACAAATAACAGCCATTTAAGACCCTGTATAATCCGCTCCCCCCACCCAGCAAAAATGAGAAAAATATCTGAAGGTATCAGTAGAGCTTGCTTACTGTTCACTCATTCATTTCTCCTGCAAGTTAGCTTTAATAATAATTTTAATAAAAATTTTCAAGTTGGGCAATCATAGTTTATAACTATATGAACAGGTGATGATCTGAAACTGACTTAATTTTACCCGGTAGATAATCTGTAGTTACCTTGGGTGGTGATGCCACAGCACAACTGGTTTTAGTTATAGCTCATTCTTTCCATGTGTGAATCTTAAGGCCACATCACCCCATGCTGAAAATCTGTGATTGTTTCTGGGGATACTGTGATGGTCATTGTTAAGTGAGCAATCGATGTGAAATTTGAAATTTGAGCAGGTATTATGGAGAAAATATCTGTCTGTGAAGCTGGTGAGTCATGGGCTGCCCTATAGCCAGAGAACCAGATAAAGCATTGTTGTTCGATTTTAAGGGTCTGTTCTCGATTCACTGTGAATGATCTCCCTCCCATGTAAAGTGACCCTGACTTTGTCCTGCCACACGTTGCTTTGCAACCCCAGAGGATCGAGGTGAGCCCGAGCTTGTGTTCTCAGTGGCTGTGCTTCCCCCTTCCTGTCTGTGGTTTGCCTCCATCTGGGCACCCTGCCATCATTCCCTGCACATCTCATTCTCCTTTTGAGAATCCTGTGTGTGGTGAGCGGCGTCACCTTCCTTCTGCTGGTGTGTGTGGGGTGGGTGGGGCCTGCCGTGCGGGTGGGGTCCAGACAGTGCGCTGCTAGGACTGCAGCTGCATGTGGGCTGCCGGCTTCCTCCTCTTGTAGCTGCTGGAGCAGACTCAGAACCTAGAGATAACCTGCCATTAATAGGTTCTTTTAGTGCCCCGGATTTTTCAAATTTAAAACTCTTCTTTCTTTAACATGATTCTGTTACTTAAAGACATGCTATTCTTTTCATCTGGGGTTCTTTCAATTTTATTTTTTAAAACAGCAGAGATATTTTATATTTAAATGGTAACCTATTTATTCAGATATTTCCCCTTTCCTTTTTTGGATATTTTTTGTCTGTTTCAAGCTAACATTTAGAACATTTTAAAACTTTTTATATGAAAACAATTTCAAACTTTCACAATCACAAAACTAGTGCATAGAACACTTGTCTGTGTACCTTTTACCCACATGCACCTGTTCACACTTCACCCCATTGGCTCTGCCTTCGCATACCTGCTCACTGGCTTGTTGGTGTGGGTGTGAACGTGTAGACATCGTTATTTCTGAACCACAGCCTCAAGTAATCCAAAGGAAACATCAGCAAACCCCAACATGAGACCATTTCTATGAAAAACGGGCAGGGAGAACAGTGTTCTTCAAAATTATCTATGTCATAAAAGGCAAAGAAAGGCTGTGGGAATGTTTCAGAGTCAAGGACATTAAAGGAACAGGACAACTGAAGGCAGCACCTGGCCCTGGACAAAACACTGGAGAATCCACTGAGAAAAGGAGAAAACGCTGTGATCTTCACGACATCCAAGTTTTATTTACTATACCTTCTAAAGCCTAGTTCATAATAGATTTTTACAATAATAATGTTTGATTTAATAAAAAATTAAGACCCATTGATCAAAAGACACAAATGGGAGTAAATGTTTGTGAATTATGTATTTATCTGATAAAAGACTTGGATCCAGAATATATGAAAACTCTCTCCGAATATGAATACATTACCTAATAAGAAAAAGGTGTATAAGTACCCATAAGATACTAAATGTCATGATTTAGCATCCGAGGGTCAGATACGCACATCCTGACCCTTCACGGCTCAGTGCTTGTGTGCACTTCCTAAGAAATGCTTCCTCTGCTGGGCACGGTGGCTCACGCCTGTAATCCCAGCACTTTGGGAGGCTGAGGCGGGTGGATCACGAGGTCAGGAGATTGAGACCAGCCTGGCTAACACGGTGAAACCCCGTCTCTACTAAAAATACAAAAACTAGCCGGGCGTGGTGGTGGGTGCCTGTAGTCCCACCTACTCGGGAGGCTGAGGCAGGAGAATGGTGTGAACCCTGGAGACGGAGCTTGCAGTGAGCCAAGATCGTGCCACTGCACTCCAGCCTGGACGACAGAGCGGGACTCTGTCTCAAAAAAAAAAAAAAAAGAAACCGCTTCCTCCTGTTCTGCTGGCAGTGCTGTGCAGCTTCCTGCTGCTACAGGTGATCATGAAGAGTTCAAGGATTTGCAGGTTGCTTATTAAGCCTTTGGTAGGCTTCAAATTGACACAGGCTTTAAACCACAGAAATTTGTAAAAGCCACAAGCGAGGGCTTTTATTTCCTGGAGAGTAAGTTTTCCAACACCCGACTGAATATTTTCTCCATGACTGAGGCATGCTTGCTAGCTTCATGAACTGCCATCAAAGCAACATATTATCTGCTAGCCGAGTTCCGCTTCCCTCAGTGCGTCCACCCAGGGCTTTACTCTTTCTCATTTCCTTTCTTTGTCTTTATGACATTGATATTTTTGAAGAATGTTGTCCTCCTCGCTTTTTCATAGCAACGTTCTCGTTTTGTGTGTTTCTGATGTTTCCTGTTCACAGCCCTGAGGCTGTGCGTCCTCGAGTGGCACAGCACGTAGGTGATGATGTGTCCCGCTCGCTGGTGTTGCTTCTGATCTCTCAACTGAGGTGTCACCTGGTTTCTCTGCTCTGTAATCACCATTTTTTCTGCAACTATTAATAATACGCAGTCAGTGGAGAGACACTCTAAGACCATGCAAATATCCTGCCTTCATCAAAATTTTCCCTGGATTTAGCATCACGCTGCCACGGTGTCCTAGCCTTCCCGTCGCCCACACGGCCTCCACTTGCTCCAGTGTCTGCTTATCAACATCATCCTTTCTTTCTGACATGTTCTTCTCTGCTTTGCGGCATATGATCTGAAGCAAATGGTTTCTTCTTTGGTGGTTAAAGCTGCAGAACCCTTTGCAAATTCAGCAGCCACTGAGGAAAGAATCCTGCCCTTACCCAGGGCACTGCCTGACATGCAACATGCACACTGCAGCACCACTGCGGTTCCAACAAAGACTGTAGCTTCTGGTGGTGACAGTACTCTGCATTTTCTTTTCTCTTTTTTTTGAGACAGAGTCTCACTCTGTCACCAGGCTGGAGTGCAGTGGCACGATCTTGGCTCACTGCAACCTATGCCTCCCGGGTTAAAGCGATTCTCCTACCTCAGACTCCCAAGTAGCTGGGACTACAGGCACCCGCCACCACGCCTGGCTAATTTTTGTATTTTTAGTAGAGAATGGGGTTTTGCCATGTTGGCCAGGATGGTCTCGATCTCTTGACCTCGTGATCTGCCGACCTCAGCCTCCCAAAGTGCTGGGATTATAGACGTGAGCCACCATGCCTAGCCGTACTCTGCATTTTCTACATTTCTCCCCAGTAGTCACCTCGCTTTTTTCTTTGGGTACCTCCCATATACCCAGTGATAGAAAGTGATGTAAGGGCCAGACATGGTGGCTTACGCCTGTAATCCCAGCACTTTGGGAGGCTGAGGCGGGCATATCGCTTGAGGCCAGGAGTTTGAGACCAACCTGACCAACATGGTGAAACTCTATCTCTACTAAAAATACAAAATTAAATAAATAAATTAACCAGGCGTAGTGGCGCACACCTGTAATTCCAGCTACTTGGGAGACTGAGGCAGGAGAATCACTTGAACCTGGTAGGAGGAGGCTGAAGTGAGCTGAGATTGCACCAGTGCACTCCAGTCTGAGGAACAGAGCAAGATTCTGTCTCTAAATAAATAAAGTAAAAATAAAAGTTTTTAAAAGTGATGTAGGGCAGAGAAAGTCAAGAAAGGACCTTTGTTTTGGCTTATCTCACCATGTCGTTAGCGACTTAAAATCCAGATGGTTTCCTGCTGGAAGCTGGGAAGCAACAGGCTGTCACCTCACAGTGCACCTCACCTGCAGGGGACCCTCCTGGAGGCAAGCTCAGCCATCTCGCTGGGCTGAATAGCTGCAGCTGCTAGAAGAGGTGTCTGGCTCTGTCCCCGCAGGACCTGCAGGACTGCAACGATGAGCTGCAAGCTGAGCTGGAAGGCCTGTGGGCGCGGCTGCCCAAGAACCAGCACAGCCCCTCATGGAGCCCGGGTGGGTGCAGAAGGCAGCTCTCTGGACTCGGCCCAGCAGGTAGGAACCCGTCCCTGGAAGGGGGCTGACCCAAGGCCTGCTGTTGACACCGAGGCCCAGAGCCAGGGAAGGAGAGTGGAGATGATGAAGATGATGATGTTGCTGTGGCCTGAAGGGAGGTGGTCTGCTCTGCAGGGTCTTTCCAAGGAGGATCCAGTGATGCCACAGGGTGACCTTGCAACACAGAAGGTCACCTGGAGAGGGAGGAGGAAGGGAGGCTGAGGTGGGGCAGCCCCAGGTCTGGCCCAGGCTCTTCCCATATCTGAGCGCTGTTTCAGTGACACGGTATTTGCTGAGACTGAAGCGCTAAATCCCGGTGAATGTGCTGGGGCCTCCCAGTACTCAGGCCTATTCAGACGGAGGCTGTCGGGCTTGCCCTTGCTGCTTCTGTGTGATGTGGTAGCTGGCGCCACCCCCCAAGTCTGAGCAAGGCAGGGAGGCACCAGGCACCAAGGGGAGTGGCCCCACCTGACCGAGTGCCTCTGTGCTCCCAGCCAATGGGATTGGGACAAACTCCACGGACCCAGAGGCCCCAGAACCCACATCAAAGTGTCTCTGGCTCCTCTACAGAGAGAATGGGGGTCCAGGTGCTACAGCCGCCCTTGAGGTCTGCAGTGCTGCTTTTGGAGGATGGGGTGACCTCTGCCCACCCAATAGCAGCATTCAATGCACGTGGCTCCATGTCCACTGCTATGACAGGAGCCCATGGGGACCCAGCAGTCCCAGCTGCTTCCCTCGCTCCCCTGTCATGGCAACGTCAGCCCCTCAGAGAAGATTTTGCTACCATCTGTAACCCTGGGAGAACTTCAGAGTTCTCCTTTTGCCCTGAAACTGTTTACTCAATAAAATAAAAAAAATGGGCAATATGGGAACCTTCTAGGGGAGTCTAGTGGGGGCTTTTGTGCATGTGAGACCGACCTCCTGGGACTCCTAAGGCACCCCCTCCCTTGCTGGCTCCTGGATTGGAGTCAGGCTCCCAAGGCGCAGCCCCAACAGCTGGCAGACTCTCAGGAAGCTGCAGGGAGGAGCAAGACCCCGCCGGCCACCCATCCCGGAAACACACATATCCAGGATTGCCTGCACCCAGGGTGGTGACTGTGGGTCCATAGCCCCATTGATGTCCCACCTGGATGCCGCTGGCCATCACACCTCCCTGCCCATCAGCCTCAGAGCACTAATTCGAGCAGGGGTTAGTGTGCCAGACTTGCCTCTCAGAACCTGGCATCATTTGTGTGATGAAATAATAACATAGGGCCACCAAGAAAATGTTATCTAAATAGATAGATAATCTCCATGCACAGCGCTCTGGTCATCTGCACATCATCTAAAGCTCTGCACCACTGGAGATCTGCTGTGCCATAGCCCACTCCATCCTTCCATTTCCTCTGTGACCCTGACATCTTCAGGAAACAGGGTTTAGGGTGCAGTAAATGTACCACAGCACAACGTATTTTAGAGACTGAAGGGGCTCCTGTGAATGATGTGGGGAGCTACCTATTCTCACCTCTGAGTGTTGTAGTAAATAACAGAATGCTGCGTACTGAGGAGTGCTGACTTTCAGGATGCAGTGTCATCCTCACGGCCAGCACCACCTGCCCCTCATGGATGTTGCCCAAATATCAGATTGGAAGGTTTGGAAGGGGCCCCCGTGGCATCCTCAGTGTGACAAACAGAAGTGTCCTCTTGTTTGCAGGCATTTCATTCCTGGGTAATTCTGTTCCAGTGAGTATAGAAACGGAGCTGATGATGGAGCAGGTGAAGGAGCATTACCAAGACCTCAGGACCCAGTTGGAGACGAAGGTGAGCGTGGGGCTGTGGGGCTGTGGGGCCCTTGGGAGCAGCTGTTGTGTGTCGGGCAGCTTTACTTGGCCACACTGACATTTCCACGTGTGTCTGCCCCGGAGTCCTTTGTCTCATTGTGAGCCCCTGTCGGGAGGTAAGTTTGTAGGGAAATGCAAATAAAACTGACATGCTGCCCGAACCCTCCTTGGAAGGACACAGGACATAGAATAACTGATGGGAAGGGAATGGTGTGATGCTCTGGAGTGTCACAAGGGGATACTTGAGGCAGCGCCATGGCCAGCCCTCCTTGCTGGTCTGCGGGTGGGAATCAGTTACTGGCTGTGCTCCAAGCCTGAGCGACCTGGCATTTGCCCCCTAGGTAGCTCAGTGGCTTTGAGGCCAGGGCCATCCTGGATGAAGCTGTCAGGATGAACTTAGCCCTGTTCTGTTCCTAGACTGTGGTGGCTTTTGAGGGACAGTGTCCACAACTTGTCATGTGTCCAGTTCCTCCGTCTGAGTGGCAGCTAGGTGGAGCTGCCTGTGGCCATGCCCTGGGGATCCCTGAAGGATTAACTGGAAGCTTCAATGAGCCCTGCCCACCCATGGGGGTCTCCACACTGTTCAGAGTCACCCCGAGGTGCTGTAAACGTTCCTCTGTGTCCCTTGCAGTGCTTGGCCAGATGCTCTAGTGAGCCCCGAGCTTCCTGTCCCTGCCTGCCGCCCTGCCTCGGGGAATAGGTGACTCGCACTTCACTAGGCCCTGGGGAGCACCACCAGCATTCATGTCACTGTCCCCTTCAGCACACCTTGGCACCTCAGCGGGCCAGGATGCTGGTCTTTGCACATTGTGCCAGGCGGCTTCGTGTTTCTGTGTTGTGTCAGCAGCCAGATCATTTTTAGGGCCTCCTGGTCCACAGGGCTCGTGTTTCTCGTTTTAGGTAAATTACTACGAAAGGGAAATTGCGGCACTGAAAAGGAACTTTGAGAAGGAGAGGAAGGACATGGAGCAGGCTTGCAGGCGTGAGGTCAGCGTGCTGGAGGGTCAGAAGGCTGACCTGGAGGAGCTCCACAAGAAGTCTCAGGAGGTCATCTGGGGCCTGCAGGAGCAGCTGCAGGACACAGCCCACGGCCCCGAGCCTGAGCAGATGGGCCTGGCACCCTGCTGCACCCAGGCACTGTGTGGCCTGGCCCTGCGGCAGATCAGGTCCGGCTGGCTTCTTTTGAGATTTCAAGTCTGGGGTTTCTTGTCAAGGACCAAAATTTGAAATTAGACTTAGGAAACAACTCAGAATTGCTGTGCCTCCTGACTGAGTGGTTTTCCTCTGGGCAGATGGGTGAGTGGCAAAAGAACAGGTCCTGGCACGAGGATTCTGGCTCTAAATTTAAAATATACATTGGAGCATGGGCCATGAAGCCGTTCACTGTGTAGAAACAGCCCAGTGCTCTTTACCCTCTGCCTCAGCCGTGCCTGGCAGGAGCATCGCCTCCCTTGCTCAGAGCTGCCCACTTCTCCAAGGCCAGGCAGGGTAGCGTGTGGGGAAATGGGGAAAGGCCTGAAGCCCTGAACAATGGGAAAGATGGCCAGCTGGGGTTAGTGAGATTCCCAAAAAGGCTCAGGTGTGCAAGCAAGAGAGAAGACTTACAGAAAGCCTGCACTGGTGTTTTGTGTGTTCTTGTGTGGGCTACATGTGAAGTGACCGCGTCTGTTCTTGTTGGGGGCATGTGAGGTAGGAGAGGAAGTGCCTGGTCATCGCAGACAGGCTACTGCTCAGCTGGCACCCACTGTCCTGTGGAGAGCATTAGCCCTGGCTTAGAAGAGGATGGGCCCTCCCACCACACTGACCGGGCCACCCCCAGCCTGACAGATAGAAAGTCATCTTTCCAGCCGGACACAGGGGCTCACACCTGTAATCCTAGCACTTTGGGAGGCCAAAGCGGATAAATCGCTTGAGCTCAGGAGTTTGAGACCAGCCTGGCCAACATGGTGAAACCCTGTCTCTACTAAAAACACAAAAAATTAGCTGAGCATGGTAGCAGGCGCCTGTAATCTCAGCTACTTGGGAGGCTGAAGCAGGAGAATCACTTGAATTTGGGAGGCGGAGGTTGCAGTGAGCTGAGATCTTGCCATTGCACTCCAGCCTGGGCCACAAAGTGAGACTCTTGTCTCAAAAAAAAAAAAAAAAAAAAAAGTCATCTTTCCCTCCTGTGCCTCCCCAGGCTTTCAGCTATTTCCCCTTAAAGCCAAGAGCGTGTGGTAAGAGACTGGGTCCGAGTCCCTGCAGACCCCACTGGGGACAGAGGGGCAGGCACCAGCAGCCCCCCTCCTCTTAGCATCCAGGCCGTTGTGCACCTGGCCCCCACCCCTAGCTGTCTCTGGCAGCCTGCTCTTGGGGAGCTGCTGTCCCCACTCTGCAGGACTCCTGATCTGCTAACGCTTGGAGGTGGAGCCCCCTCTGACTACTTCCTTGCACCCCTGCCCTGGCCAGGCATGGACCACATACCCCTCCTGGTGCTGTAGTCTTGCCGGCCCTCACTTCACTTCCACTGGACTCTCCTGCGGGCCGCCAGAGGTCCCAAGGCCCAGCAGCTTTGGGGATTTAGGGGACAGTTTTGGCTCTGGGTCTCCAGTGCGATCCTGTAGAACCCACTGCAGTGTGGGCCACGTCCCATGTTTGCCCTGTCCATTTGGGAACCTGTGAGGGCTTAGAACGCGACCTGCATGGCCGAGGGGCTGCAACCGGGTCCTGCTTGGTGGCGGCCATCTTCCATATGAACACTCCACATGGAAAGGGTTCGTGCTTGGGTTTCCGCGTGCAGAACCTTGCCCCGTGGGGCAGATCCTCTTGTGGACTCTTAAGTAGGGCCCAGGGTGTAGGTTGAAGCTGGGGCTGAGGGAGGCGAGGAGGGATAAAGAAAGCCAGCCACAGAGAGAAGAGGTCGCAGCCATTGAAACAGCTGGGCAGACTTCAAGCCCGAGAGAGGGGCTGGGGGAGGCAGGGCTGTGGTGTCCGAGGGTTCTATTTCCGCAGGAGAGAGGCCCAGGCGGAGCTGAGCGGAGAGCTGTTGGGGCTAAGAGCCCTGCCTGCTCGCAGAGACCTGACCTTGGAGCTGGAGGAGCCGCTGCAGGGACCCCTGCCACAGGGGAGCCGGAAGTCGGAGCAGCTGAACTTGGAGAGTGCACTGAAGCTGCAGCCGTGTGCGAGCGAGAAGGGCGCCCAGATGTGCGCATCGTTGGCCCTCGAGGAGGAGGAGTTGGAGCTTGCCGGTGGGAAGCGAGTGGACGGACTCTCCCTGGAAGCAGAGATGCTGGGAGCCCTGCCAAAAGAAGGGCTTGTGGCAGGAAGTGGCCGGGAGGGGGCACGTGGCCTCCTGCCACTGAGCCCGGGCTATGGGGAGCGGCCACTGGCCTGGCTGGCCCCAGGCGATGGCAGAGAGTCCAAGGAGGTGGCAGGAGCCGGGTCTCGCTGCAGACAAGCCCAGGACCCAGAAGCCACCAAGAGCCCGGCCCCCACCCCTGCCCCGTCATCCCACGGGCCTTCAGAGAGGTGGTCACACCTACAGCCCTGTGGGGTGGATGGGGGGACTGTCCCAGAGGAGCCAGAGGTTTTCGGTGTGCCTGCGGGGCTGTAGCAGCCTGGACCCCGGGAGCTGCCTCTGCTGGGAGCAGAGGGGGACGCCGCACAAACCCAGCCACGGAAGTGGGAGTCACCCCTGAGCCCAGCCGCTTCGTGCAGGGGACAGGCTGAGAGGCCACAGGCCATTCAGGAAGAGCGAGCACGAAGCTGGGGCAGGGGCATCCAGGGTCAGGCCTCGGAGGAGCAGGCCCGGGCTGAGGGCGCCCTGGAGTCTGCGTGCCAGGAGCACAGCATGGAGGTCGCCAGGAGAGGGTCCTTGGCATCCCACCTCCAGCTCACAGACCCACGGGGTTCCGGGCAGGAGCAGCTTGCCACCCCGGAAGAGGGAGAGACCAAAATAGCGCTGGAGAGAGAGAAGGATGACATGGAAACCAAACTTCTACATCTGGAAGACGTCGTCCGGGCTCTGGAGAAACATAGATTTGAGAGAGAATGACAGGTTTGGCTTCTACTCGTTCTTAAAACTAAGAACTTTAAAAAAGCAGAACTAACCCACTGACCCCTGTTGCTAATGGTGCTGCATGGCCCTTTGTGCCAACAAGCTCGCAGCCCCTGATAGAGGCTGTGTAGCCCTTCAGCCTGAGTAGGAGTTGTGAGCCCAGCCCCGTTCCGGAATCCCACGGCCATCTGGTGCTCTACCAATGGGCAGAGAGAGGGCAGGACGGCCTTTTGGGGCAGCTCTGACTGCCCTGGTGTCCCGCCTTTGGTGTTAGGAAGTTCCTGCTGCTTTTGTTTTTTTTTTGTTTGTTTGTTTTTTTGTTTTTTTTAAAAAAACAATGGAGTCTTGCATTGTTGCTGGTGCTAGAGTGCAGTGGCGCAATCTCGGCTCACTGCAACCTCCGCTTCCTGGGTTCAAGATATTCTTGTGCTTCAGCCTCCCAAGTAGCTGGGATTACAGGCGCCTGCCACCAAGCCTGGCCTATTTTTGTACTTGCAGTAGAGAGGGGGTTTCACCATGTTAGCCAGGCTGGCCTCAAAGGTGATCAGCCCGCCTTGGCCTCACAAAGTGCTGGGGTTACAGGCGTGAGCCACTGCGCACAGCCCTCACTTCCAAAGCTTTTTCATTGTTGTTCCCAGCAGAAGCTGTATACCCATTAAACAATAACTTTTTGCTAGTATTTTGTTGAGGATTTTAGCATCAATTTTTGCATCATAAGGGATTGGTCTGCAGTTTTCTTTTTTGGTCTGAAGTGTCCTTGCCTGGCTTTGGTATCAAGTAATGCCTCATAGAATGAGTTTGGAAGTGTTCCCTTCTGCTCAGTTCTTGGAAGAGTTTGAGAAGAGGTGGTAGAAGTTCTTTAAGTGGTAGAATTCACCAGTGAAGCCATCAGCTCCTAGGCTTCGTTATGAGGTTTTTTTTGTTTTTTGTTTTTTTTAGACAGAGTCTCGCTTTGTGGCCCAGGCTGGAGTGCAGTGGTGCTATCTCAGCTCACTGCAACCTCTGCCTCCCGGGTTCAAGCGATTCTCCTGCCTCAGACTCCTAAGTAGCTGGGATTATAGGCATGCACCACCAGGAATCAGGAATTTAAAACTTTGTAACAGCTGGGGCGTGGTGGTTCATGCCTGTAATCCCAGCACTTTGGGAGGCCGGGGTGGGTGGATCACCTTAGGTCAGAAGTTCGAGACCAGCCTGGCCAACATGGTGAAACCCCGTCTCTACTAAAAATACAAAAATTAGTGTGGTGGCATGCACCTGTAATCCCAGCTACTTGGGAGGTTGAGGCTGGAGAATCACTTGAACCTGGGAGGCGGAGGTTGCAGTGAGCCGAGATCGCGCCACTGCACTCCAGCCTGGGCAACAAGAGCGAAACTCTGTCTCCAAAAAAAAAAACCAAAAATTAGCTGGGCATGGTGGCACACGCTTGTAGTCCCAGCTACTCAGGAGGCTGAGGCAAGAGAATTGCTTGAACCCAAGAGGCAGAGGTTTCAGTAAGCCAAGATCACACCACTGCACTCCAGCCTGGGTGACAGAGCGAGATTCCATATCAGAAAAAAGAAGTTCCTTTAGTGAAACTCTGTTTGTAGTAAATTTCCTGTTTTTGCTTATCTGAAAAGTGTCTTAAATGTTCCTTCATTTCTGTAAGACAGTATTCATAGGGACACAAATCTAGATTAGCCATTAAAGGGCCGCCTTTCTGCCCTTGGAATGTCTTCTCTCAGTGTCAGAGACCTGGTTGCTGATGCTGTGTGAAAGGCCCTTGATCCATCTGCTCTTCCTTCCACGGACTTGGTGGCTTAACAAGGCACAAAAGTGCAATGTTACAGTTTTGGAGGTTGGAAGAGGAAAGGGTCTCCTTGGGCTAGGAGTGAAGTGCTGACAGGGCTGCGGGGCCATCCAGAGGCCCCGAGGGGAGCTGTCTGCCTCGCCTTCTCCAGCGGCCTTGGCTTGAGGCATCGTTCCATCCTGGAAGCCAGCCCTGGGTGGCCGAGTCCTCCTCACATCACCTCACTCCAACACTGACTCTTCTGCCTCCGCTTTCTACCTCTAAGGACCCTGGTGATTATGTTGGGTTCCTCTGGAGAATCCAGAGTAATCCACAGTCAGAGAATGAGCAGCCTTCATTCCCCCTGCTGTGTAATGTCACATAGTCTCCGTTAGAGGCCAGTATTGTGCCATCCACAGTAGGTATCTGACTTTTGTGCTCTGGCTACTTCTGAGACCTTTATCTTTAGTGGTTTTTCTTTGCTGTGCATTTCTTTCTTTTTAACTTTTTATTTTTATTTATTTATTTTTATTTAATTTATTTATTTATTTATTTGAGATGAAGTCTCACTCTGTTGCCCAGGCTGGAGTGCAGTAGTACAATCTCAGCTCACTGCAACCTTTGCCTCCTGAGTTCAAGCAATTCTCCTGCATCAGCCTCCCAAGTAGCTGGGATTACCGGTGCCCACCACCACGCCCAGCTGATTTGTGTGTGTGTGTGTGTGTATTTTTACTACAGACAGGGTTTCACCATGTTGGCCAGGCTGGTCTTGAACTCCTGGCCTGAAGTGATTTGCCTGCCTCATCCTCCCAAAGTACTGGAATTACATAAGGCCTAGCCACCATGCGTGGCCACTTTTTATTTATTTATTTTTTATTTATTTATTTATTTATTTATTTATTTATTTATTGCAGAGATAGAGTCTCACTATTTTGCCCAAGCTGGTCTCAAACTCCTGGCCTCAAGTGATCCTCTGGCCTCAGCCTCCCAAAGTGGGTGAGATTACAGGTGTGAGCCACCATGTCCAGCCTCTTTTTAACTTTTTATTAAAGTGTGATACACATAAGAAAATGCATATATATGTACAATTAGGAGAACTGTCAACAAATTGAACACGTGTGTTACCAGCGCCCAGAACAAGAGATGGAATTCACCAGAGTCCCCAGGGGTAACCACTTCTTACAGCATAGATTCAGTTTGCTTGTGTTTTTACTTTACGGAGAGGAATCATGCAGCATGTACGCTTTTGTGTCTGACTTTCTTGGCTCAACCTGGTTGTGCGATTCATCTGTGGTGTTGCTGTAGTTCATACATTTGCATTGCTATGTGGTATTCTGTTGTGAGAACATACCACAGTTTATTATTTTCTCCTGTTGATGGGCATTTGGGTAGTTCCTAGTTTTTGGCTCTCACAAATGGAACTGTACTGAATGTTCTTGCATGTGTCTTTTGGAGCATTATGTTAGGCCGTACCTAGAAATGGGATTGTTGTGTTGTGGGTATAGGCGTAGTTTTCTTTTTGTTCATTCTACTTGGAAAATACTGTCCCAGCCAGGCATGGTGGTTCACATCTATAATCCCAGGACTTTGGGAGCCCAGGAGTTCAAGATCAGTCTGGGCAACATAAAGAGACTGTTTCTACAAAAACTTAGGAAAAATTAGTCACACATTGTGGCACGCACCTGTGGTCCCAACTATTTGGGAGGCTAGATGGGAGGATCACTTGAGCCTGGGAGGTTGAAGCTGCAGTGAGCTGAGATTGCGCCACTGCACTCCAGCCTGGGTGGCAGAGCAAAAGAAAAAAAAAGAAAAGAAACATTTTCTCTGTTGAATGTATGGATTGCATTGGTATCTCATGAAAATCTCTCAGCCATCACTATTAAAATATTGCCTCTCCGGAGGTTGTGGTGAGCCAAGATTGCGCCACTGCACTCCAGCCTGGGCAACAAGAGCAAAACTCTGTCTCAAAAAATATATATATATATATATATGTGTGTGTGTATATATATGTGTGTGTATGTGTATATATATGTGTGTGTATATATATATGTGTGTGTGTGTATATGTATGTGTGTGTGTGTGTAGCCTCTCCTCCCACTGTTTTCTTCAATTAGATACATGAATGTTAGAGCATTTCACTTTATTTCTCAACCTCTCTTTTATATTTTCCGTCTTCTGTCTGTATCACATTTGAGATATTTTTTACATACCTCTGTGTTCCAGGTCAGTATCTCTTTCAGCTCTGTGTAATCTGCTATTTAACCCATTCCATGAGTTTTTATTTTGACACTGACTTTTTGTTCATTTCTAAAAATTCTTTTTGGTCCTGTCTGATCATTGTCAGTAGTTTCTTGTTGCTTGTTCATTGTTTGTTTCCATCTGTTATTTATGTAAACATTTCATAACATTTATTTTTAGTTTGTGTCTAGTAATTCCAATACCTGCAGTTTCTAGGGGATTGAATTCTGGCTTCTGGCTTTTGATGTCCTTTATGGGTGGCTTTGCTCCATGTATGTTATGGTGATCTTTGATTGTGAGCTCATATTTGCTTGATGTTAATCTCTGGGAATGTAAAGAGCCTTATATGGGATGCTATTGCTTTTGCAGAGAAATGGGAGGCTGCTAATCTGGAACCATCTGAACTTCCTTGCAGGGCCCTGGCTGGTGCAGGTGTCCACAGTGCAGCTTCTCCATTCTGCTGATAGTGGTGCCGACATAGGCATTGGTTGCAGGGTCCCCACAGCTTTGTATTGCATAATGCTCACTGCGTTGGTTTCAGCTTCCAGGATTTTGTTGCAGGTTACCTTTTCTTTTCATGAGGACAGTCACAGAGGTTACGATCAGCTTTGCGCAGGATCTAGTTGTTTGGCCGTCATGTGGGGGATGGGGTGGGGCATCCCTCAGCTTTCAGCTTTGCATCAACTTGTTCTCTATTCTGGAGCCAGAGTGATAGTTTAAAAACACAGAACTCTCCTGCTTGAAACCCTTTGCTGCTTTTAATTCCAGTGACTTCTATTTATTTTTGTCTTTAGTTCCTCATGAGATAAAATGAAGGCATATGAAGAAGAACTTATGTTTACTATTATAAGCATAATACATAAAGCGGGCTAGGCATGGTGGCTCACATCTGTGATCCCAGCACTTTGGGAGGCCTAGGTGAGAGGATCACCAGGAATTCAAGACCAGCCTGGTCAACATATTGAGACCCCATCTCAACCACAACAAAAATTATCCAGGTGTGGTGACGCATGCCTACTATAGTCCCAGCTCCTGGGCCCAGGAGTTCAAGGCTGCAGTGAGCTATGATTGTGCCACTGTACTGCAGCCTGGGTGACAGAATGAGATCCCATCTCAAAGAAAAGAAAAAAAAATACATGAAGTGAACATGGTGAGATAATGTGGCTTTCAGTATTTTCAGACTGAAAAAATAAGAAGCTAGTACCGTATAGAGACCTATTTGGGGAATAAACGTTAGCCTTGCCAGTCAGTATTAAGAATGCATTCTCTGGTTTGCAAGTAGGGGTCTTAAGCTACTTCACTGGTGATCTTTTTTTTTTTTTTTAAAGACAGGGTCTCACTGTGTTGTCCAGGAGGGTCTCAAACTCCTGGACTCAAGCAGTCCTCCTGCCTCAGCCTCCCCAGTAGCTGGGATTACAGATGCATGATGCCACACCTGGCTCCCATTAGTGATCTTCATTGGTAAATTGCCATCTTCCTCCGTCAAATCAATGGCATTACCCAAGCAGGGACTCTCTGAGTTGTCAGAGAACAAAGATGGCCCCAGGCAGACTTGGTTCACGTAGCGGCTGTCTATCCCTGCCTTTTCCCACTTTGAAATTCACCTAGCAAAGGTTTCCCGTATATCTTGGCCTTCTGATTCCTGTGTTTCTTAGCTCCACACTGGGTTCACTGCCAGGGATGAGTACCCTGCAGTACCTGAGAACTCACACCCAGCACTGGCACCCAGGACACACATGTGTTTGGTGAGAGGCCACAGATGCAGGAGCAGGTCAGCTATAAACTCAGCATAAGCAAAACCCAAGGTTCTGAGTGCATTTGTGACTTGACAGCGTGGCAGTTTAGAAGCTAAGAGAGCTTGGTTTTCTGTGGCTTGGCTCACGGGAGATCCAAGACATTAACACCTGGTACAGGAAGAGGGGAAGAAAGGGTGTCTGGCGCCACCTCCAGGGACGGGGAGATGGGGACGCACAGTTCTCAGGACTCCCTGCTGCAGAGCCAGTCTCCGCTCTGTGCTCCGCTCTCCGCTCTCCGCTCATGTGGCTCTCTGCTCTCCGGTCTCCGCGACCGCATGTGGCTTCCCAGGTGCTCACCGTTCTTTTCTCAATTTTTACGCAGACTGGAGTTCCATAGACTTTCCGAAGAAAACACTTTGTTGAAAAACGACCTGGGAAGGGTTCGGCAAGAGCTTGAAGCTGCAGAAAGCACTCACAATGCACAGAGGTAAGGGCCACGCCCCCACCCAGACCTTCTGGGGGTGCGTTTTGCCCTCCATAGAGTGACCTTATGCAGTCTCCGTATAGACCATGGGAAGTGTTCTCAGATTAGCCCTGCATTCCAGCAAACCCTAAACTGTGAGCCTTGTTAACTTCTGAACGACTCGGCAGATGTGGGAGGCTCTGGGCTCCTTCCTCATGTGGGCAGCACCTGGGCACCCCAGCTCCTTGGTGTGTGGGAAGTGGGGCAGGCGCCACGCCAGCATGTTGAGCTGCGAAGCAGAGCCCCAGCCCCAGCACGGGCGCTGCTGCACCCCATGGAGAATGCTCACCTCGCACTTAGGGGGTTGAGGGGGGCCACAACACTGTCTGCAGGGTCAGAGGTGCTCCTAGGATCCTCTCCTGATAACAGTTTCAGCTCTGCTTTCCTCAGAGGGTCATTGCTGGTTTATCAATTTCAGTAAACAAGAGCTGGGGAGGGGGGACGTGTGTGAGAGGTCAGGGAACCTGAGCACTGAGGCAAAGAGGATGGGGGGTGGGGGCACCAGTGAGAGTCAGGGGACAGGGCAGGGGGGCACCTACCAGTGAGGTCGGAGGACAGGGCAGGGCGCCCGCCGGTGAGAGTCAGTCAGGGGACAGGGCAAGGGCGCCCGCCAGTGAGAGTCAGTCAGGGGACAGGGCAGGGCGCCCGCAGTGAGATCAGTCAGGGGCAGGGCAAGGGCGCCCGCCAGTGAGAGTCAGTGGAAGCAGGGCAGGAGGCCACCAGTGAGTTGGGGGACCGGACGGGGGGCACCCATCAGTGAGAGTCGAGGATGAGAGTCAGTGGAAGCAGGGCAGGGAGGCCACCAGTGAGAGTTGGGGGACCGGACGGGGGGCACCCATCAGTGAGAGTCGAGGGACTGAGCAGGGAGGCGCCCGTCAGTGAGAGTCAGTGGGACAGAGCAGGGGGCATTCATCAGCGAGAGTCAGGGGACACAGCAGGAGTGTCCCCTCAGTGCAGCTGGGGAAGGGCTGGGACTGAAGAAGGGAGAATGTGTGTTCTGGGGAGAGTGGCTTTCTGCTGTCACTACTGTAGCCATATCCAAGGACAACTGTTTGGCCTTTTTTTCCCCAAGTATGCATCTCAAGGTGAGCTTAGCTCTCATAGACGGCAATTCTGAAATGACAGAATTGCCGCGGTGATTAAAGTAGCGAGTCCCAAGCAGGTACCCAAGGATTGCCCTTCCATGACAGCACTTCTGAAATCTCAAAGCTTGTTTCTTTAGAAACCATTTTTTCTCTGGGTTTCCTGAGTCTGTCAGGACCCCGCTGATGGCATGCCTCCGGAGATGCCAGGCTGTTTCAGTCTCTGTTCACTCTGCTGAGTGTGAACTGTTACATGTTTTACAAAAGAAATATTCACGTATTTGATTGAGGAATGTCATGCAGGGTTTGCATTCTTACAATGCCAGCAGTGTAGATTATTAGAGACTCTCTAGTAATCTGAGTTTCACGTTCCTAAAGTCTTCGTGGTTTGGGATAAACCACGGAGGACGGGGTCGTCGTCATCATTAGCAGCGGCAACAGCAGGGACCAAGAGGGGCTGGAGAATGCCAGGGGCAGGTGCGGGCATCTGTGCTGTGGCTGCAAACCCGCATGCTGCTCTTACCCTGGGTGCTGACCAGGAAAGAAGGCACTGGTTGGTCATAAGTGGTATCACTGTTAATTGTGCTTCTTCAACAGGAAGGAAATTGAGGTTTTAAAGAAAGACAAGGAAAAGGCCTGCTCTGAGATGGAGGTGCTCACCAGACAGGTGATGTATGGATGCCTGGCATGGAGCTCATGCCACCCTTCCTTTTTTTTATTATTTTGAAAGCGTTTTAAACTTACAAAAGGAAGTGGAGAACATTCTTCTAAAAGACTTGAGAGTGAGTTGCTGACCGGCCCCCAGGCGTCATCAAAGTCAGGAACTGAGTGCGGCTGCGAAGACCCCTGCCACAGTCAGATCTGCTGGTGGTCCCAAGGATGTTCAGAATCATGTGGCACGCAGTAGGTGGGACCACAGGCATCCCCTGCAGGGTCCCTTTGGTGTTTTGATCTAGATACTGTGAGCAGCTTCTCACAGACACTGGCAGGCAGGCACTGTCTGTGTTGTGAGGGCCTGAGGCTCTGCACTGGCCCGAGGCCCAGCTGCTTGTGGAGATGACCCGCCTGGGGAGCCGCACGCCAGCATGCTGAGCTCATCTTTTGTATTTTTAGTAGAGACGGGGTCTCACTATGTTGCCAAGGCTGCTCTCAAACTCCTGGCCTCAAGCAGGCCTCTAGCTTCGGCCTCCCAAAGTGCTGGGGTTATAGGTGTCAAACACTGTGCCTGGACACTCCCCAATTTTTGGGTTTTTTTTGTTTTGTTTTTTGTTTTTTCGAGACTCATTATCACTCTGTCACCCAGGCTAGAGTACAGTGGTGCGATCTTGGCTCACTGCAACCTCCACCTCCCAGGTTCAAGCAATTCTTCTGCCTCAGTCTCCTGGGTAGCTGGGATTGCAGGCATGTACCACCATGCCTGGCTAATTTTTGTATTATTAGTAGAGACAGGGTTTCACCATGTTGGCCAGGCTGGTCTTGAACTCCTGACCTCAAGCTATCCGCCGGCCTCAGCCTCCCAAATTGCTGGGATTACAGGTGTGAGCCAGTGTACCCTGCTTACCCCAAAAATGTTATCATGAAAAACTTTAAACACAGGAAAGTTGAAACAATATACAGTGATCACCCATATACCAACGTACCACACATTAATGCAACTGTTATTGACATTGCCGCGTGCACTTTAGTTCTGTTCATATCTATATATTTCACTTGTGTGCATGTGTGTGTGTGTGTGTGTGTGTGTGTGTGTGTGTGTGTGCTGAACCATTTGAAGATAAGTTGTAGGCCGGGTGCGGTGCCTCATACCTATAATCCCTGCATTTTGGGAGGCCAGGGTGGGCGGATCACTTGAGCCCAGGAGTTCAAGACCAGCCTGGGCAACATGACAAAACCCATCTCCACAAAAAAAAGAAAAATCAGCTGCATGTGCTGGCATGTGCCTATAGTCCCAGCTACTTGGGAGGCTGAGGTGGGAGGATGGCTTGAGCCTGGGAGGTTGAGGCTACAGTGAGCGGAGGTCATACCACTGCACTCCAGCCTGAATGACAGAGTGAGACCCTGTCTCTAATAATAATAAAAATAGAAAATAAGTTCCAAATGTCATGATACTCCACTCCTCAATATTTCAACAGGCGTCTCTTAAAAGGAAGTGCATCTCCTGCCTTGCCACATTGAAGGAATGCTGTAGCAGTAGTTACCTCATATCAGTATTCAGACCATATTCTCATTTCTCCAGTTATTAAAAAGTGTCCTGTACAGTAAGTTTTCTGACAGTAGGATGTAGCTGGGGGTGCCACGTTGTGTGTAACTATGCCTCTGTTCATCGGTGTTTAGCTGTCAGATCAACTTATTGGCATAAACCAGCCACTTGAGTGGCACCTGTGGGTCAGGGCATTCAGACAAACAGCCTGGATCGCCATCCCTACTCTGTGATGCGGGTGCCTCAGCTGGGAAGGCTGGACAGCTGGGGTTACCTAATGGCCAGGGCTAGAGTCATCTGGGGACCCCTCTGCTCATGTCTGTCTGGGGCCTCTCCTCATGGGGTTGGACCTGGAGGGAGCGTCATGGGGGGTGTCAGGGAGCTAGTGTTCCAGGGCAGCTGGTGGGAGGCACGGCTCCCAAGCTCTCCTCGGAAGTCACTCCACGTTATTCCCTGAGTCCCTGGAGCTGCGGAGAGGCTTCTCTGCCGGGTAAGTGTTCCAGTCACATTGCAGAAGAGGACGTGGGATGGGAGAAGCTGCTGGAGGCTTCTTTGGACAACGCATGCCCTGCAGGGTCGCTTTGGTGTTTTGATCTGGAAGACCTGTTTTTCCCCATGACACTGGCTTTTGGAAGAGCCCAGGTAGTGGTCCCATGGGCCATCCCACATTCTGGATCTGTCCAGTTGTTTTCTGAGAGTGTAGGCTACTCTGGTCATATGTCACCTGTCTGTCTTGTAAACTGGAAATCAGGCCTAAAGGCTGGAGCAGATGCAGAGTGAACATATTTGACACAGATGTCATTTGTTTTAACACACGGCCAGGAGACAACTGCTGACATCTCATGCTGGCTTCTGCAGTGAGAGCCAGATGAGTGCAAGTTCGAAGTTAAGAGGTGGCCAGCGTGAATGCCACCAGGAGCAGATAGCATCTCTGCCTCCTGATGCAGCTCCCTGCACAGTCTCTGCCCAGGAACTTGTCACCCGAGTCACAAGGAAGCACCAGACAAAGCCCAAATGGGAGGGGATGGAACTGTATTTGTCAAAAAATGTCAAAGTTATGAGAGACAGAGGCTGAGGAGACATTGCACATTTGAGGAGGCTGAAACAACAGGACAGGGCCCGGCTGATCCTGTGCCCGGAAGGATGCTGCCAGGCTCATTGACAAAATGAAGTGTGGGGACATGGAAGCCACTGTCCTGAAGCAGTAGCTGCACAGTAGCCGCATGACAGCTGCTGTCCCCAGGAGGCAGGCAGCTGTGGAGAAGGGAAGACGTCATGTGTGCGCCTGTGTGTGTCGGGGGGCAAAGCAGATTGTGGGGGGTGTTGTCGGCTAGGAGCCGGGATGGAAGGCAGGTGGGTTTCCGTGGTCATGTTCTAGTCTTGCAACTGTTCAAGTCTGAAATTATTTCCAAATGAAGAGTTTTTTGTGTGCTTGTTTGTTTTGAGATGGAATCTTGTTCTGTCACTCTGGCTGGAGTGCAATGGTGTAATGTCAGCTCACTGCAACCTCTGCCTCCCAGGTTCAACCGATTCTCCTGCCTCAACCTCCCAAGTAGTTGGGATTACAGGTGTGCACCACCAAGCCCGGCTAATTTTTGTATTTTTAGTGGAGATGGGGTTTCGCCATGTTGGCCAGGCTGGTCTCAAACTCCTGACCTCAGGTGATCCTTCCACTTCGGCCTCCCAAAGCACTGGGATTACAGGCGTGAGCCACCACACCCAGCCACCAAATGAAGAGTTTAAATGTTAAAGGTGAATAGAAGAAAATCCACTATTGTGTTTATCTCAAGAACTGAAGGAAGATTCCATCTCTACTCATGAAATCAAGGCTGTCTTTAGAGGGCAAGATGAATGTGTGTCAGTATTAAAACAGTTATAATTTTCACAATAAAATGTAATAGAACACGTGAGCTCTATGCCAGACGTAACTGCCACAGGCTTATGTTGTGGTGGAAGCTTCTCTTAACCTCAGGCTCGAGGTTCTAGGGAAGGGATGAGGTGAGGTTAATTTGCAAGGAATTGCATGAGAAAAATTCGTGGACTCCCTAATCTTGAGTAAATCCAAATGGAAACAACGTCCCAGTTTTCTTATGTGCCTGTAAAACCTATAAAAGCAAAGGCAGTGGTTGTTGGCATCACTCTGGGAAGGTAACGTGTACGTGGTCAATTGTGCTGAGAGTGGGTCAGAGGACATCGCTCCGAACCCCCAAGAGCTGCGGTGGGAAAAAACAAGCAAAAATGGGGTTGGATGAAGATGTTCCTGACAGGTGACTGCAGACAGCAGAGCCTCCGTGGTCCAGACCGCAGGGCCGCTTTCCTGCCACTGTTTCACTGCACGGTGCCCTCACAGGTTCACCCGCTGAGTGTGTGCTGAAATCTACTATCTATGGGGGGTGCTATTGAGAAAAAGCAAAACATACCATTTGTTGAACCCATGTACCCTGCCAAGAGGTACGCTTGTGTGTTCAGTGACGGAGATCAGAGGAGACTTAAGGGATTCATATACCTCAAGTTTAAATAGGTTGCTTTTTTGTTAAAATTGCCATATATTTTTAAATATATTAAAATAATCGTGGAGGAAATGAGAAAAACGTGAAAGGTGTTCCAAACAGTGGTTTGGATGGTCATGGCATCTACTCCGCTCTGTTGGCCTAGATGCGTGTGTGTTTCTCCTAGGGGCTGGACCAGGGCTTCCTGTCCTCGGCACTGGTGACGTTTGGGGCCAGATCATCTGCATTGTAGGCTGTCGAGTGCCCCATGCCGTTGGTGCCAGCAGCTTCCTCCATCTCCAGCTGTGATCACCAAAAATACCTAGAGACATTGCCAGACATTTCCTCAGGAGCAAAGTTGTACCTGGTTGAGAGCAATTACAATGATATGAATTGAGCTGCTGGCTTAAAAGTATTTTAGGGGGCAAGGTGGGGCTGGGCTCAGTGGCCCACGCCTGTAGTCCCAGCACTTTGGGAGGCTGAGATGGGATGATTCCTTGAGGCTAGGAGTTCAGGACCAGCCTTGGAAACACAGAGGGACCCTGTCTTAACCAAAAAACAAAACTAGGTGGGAGTGGTGATGTGTGTGTGGTCCCAGCTACTTGGGAGGCTGAGGTGGGAGGATCGCCTGAGCCTAGGAGGTCACGGCTGCAGTGAACCATGAATGTGCCACCGCAGTCCAGCTGGGGCAAGAGAGCGAGGGCCTGTCTTGAAAAACAAAACAAAGCAAAAAACTACTTAATAAAAATATAGCCAATGATGGGCAAATATATATATAAAATAAAAATTAAAAACCTTTTTTTCCTATGTATTTAAAAACTTGTTCCCCCTAGAATCAGAACTACAAGGATCAATTATCCCAGCTCAATGACAGGGTTCTTCAACTGGGACAGGAGGCTTCTACCCACCAGGCCCAAAGTGAGGAGCATCGTGTGACCATTCAGCTGTTAACACAGAGCCTAGAGGAGGTGGCGTGCAGCGGGCAGCAGCAGGTGGGTGGCCTCAGCCGCCGGCAGCTCCACCTGGGCTCTGCTGGAGGCTGGGAGCTGCAGGGTGCGGAGGCGGCTGCAAACAGGTCAGGACAGGCGCTGAGGAGCCTGGAGGGAAGTGAGGGACTTCCCAAGCATGCCTTGGAGAAATAGGTGGACTGTGCTGTATTGGCAAATCCCAGTATCTAAAGAAAATAGCAGAATAGCTTTACATGCTGCTGACAGAGGAGGGAATTGGTGCAAAGTTCCCCGAGGGCAGTTTGGCAAAATATACACTTAGAGGCTGAAGAAAGTCCACGTGCCTTGACTTCATGATTCCTATGGGGATGTTCCCGAGAGCCTTGTGGAAGGATGCAGCTGCAGCATTTTCCTTGCTGTGCTGTTTATAATAGCAAAGCAGAAATGAAATCAGCCGAGTCACCGACAGAAGCTGAGGGAGTCACTGGATCACAGCACAGCCATTGAAAACCATGTTTTCAAATCACAATTAATGCCCTGGGAAACGCTCCCGCTGTGGTGGTGAGAAGGCGCTTCCTGCAGTGCATGGCACACCCAACACTGTCTCACCGGGGAGATGCGTGTGTGTAGAGGGGGGGCCGGGGACTGACTGCAGGACACAGGGCCGGCCTTGGTTGGTGGGTTCATGGGGATTTAAATTTTGTAATTTTTTTTTCTTTTCTGTAATTTTCTGAGGTTTCTGCACGAATTACATACCAGACTCTTCAGATACTTCTTGACTTGTGCAATTGATTTTTTAAAAACAGAGTGACCAAATCCAAAAACTTAAAGTTGAACTTGAATGCCTGAATCAGGAATATCAGAGCCTGCAACTGTCACAGTCAGAGCTGACCCAGACCCTTGAAGAAAGTCAAGGCCAGGTGGGTGTGAGTGGTGGCTGGAGGCACTGCGTCCAGTCCCACCCGGGAGCAGCATCACCACAGCGCCAACGGTGTTGCCAGGCCTCCTCCAGCCCAGAGAAAGTGTTGAGCTGGCCTGGACACAGCTGTCCAGGTGCTTACTGGGCCCAGGGAAAAGCTGCTCCCAGTGCAGAGTTGGTTTGACTGTGAGCAAGCCCCGTGAAGAGTGGTGACTCAGTTTACTCCTGAGGGAAGGAGTGCGGTCACCATGCCTTTGGGTGAGCCCTCCACAGAATGGAGGAGCCAGAGGCAAGCCTGGGGACTGTGTCATCAGAACCAAGGCAGCAGGCTCCAGCCCTGGGGGTGGGGTGAAATGGGCACTCATGGACATGCATGACACTGGCCTCTGTACACACCTCCAGGTGCCACACCTGCTGGCCCTGCAGGCGAGAGGCGCGGGAGGTGCAGACACGGGAGGCTGGGCTACAGTGGCAGGAGCTCGTGGTCTGGGACAGACAGGTGTGTGCAGGGGCAGCCGAGCAGGGGCCTCAGGGAGGGGAGCCAGCTCAGGGGATGCTTGTGGAGGGGTGGCTCAAGGGAGAGGAGAAGAGCAGGTGTGTGGCGGCCAAAGGTGCCCCGAGGGCGAGTGCCCAGTGTGGACACAGGTGCAGGGCACACTTGGAAGCTTGGGGGCTGCAGAGAGGAAAGGGGGCTGTGGGAAAGGGTCTCTCCCCGCCTGCCTGTGAGGCTTGGCTGAGCCTCTGCACCCAGTTCCCCGCAGTGCTGGCCCTGGCGCCCTGTGCAGAGGCACCCCCTAGACGTCCTGAGACACAGAGGGGTCAGCTGGGCACGGACCCCAGAGCTTTCTGGGGTGCTGTCGGGGCTCCCATAGGCTCTTGGCCTTGCAGCTACAGTCTATCAGTTTCCCAGAGGTGCTCTGCCTATTTGGGGCATCCTTCTCTACTTTTGAGTCTAAAAGGAACCCTGGAAAATTGGGCCAGTTCGAGTCCTTTGAGGCTGAGGAGTAAGACCACCTGAAAAGGCCGGCACTTCCTTAGCACCTGGTGCTGGAGGCACCGCTAGGGCCAAGGGAGAGGATTCCACACCCCTGAGGCCATGCCTGCCACCAGCCTCTCAGTCGGGAAGCACCTCACCGAGTCTGCCCTGCAGCCATGTGGGTCACCCCTTCTTCCTCATGATTTAGAGGAAGACGCTCCCCCAAAGCAAGTGGCTTCCAGTTAGCATCAGGAAGCTGGGAGCTTCCAGGCTAGCTCAGGGCACTCTGGAAAAGGCAGACGGGGCTCCCTAAGAGTGGCCACAAGAGGCTGGGCCTGAAGCTGATGTGGTCACCGTTTCCATGTGGGAGGGAAGCCAGGGCAGTCACTCTCATGCCCATGTGTGGCTCAGGAGGAAGGCCCCAGAGGCCAGAGCAGACAGGAGGGATGGGCCCTCATAGAGGAGCTCAGAGGGTGGAGGGTCTCCCAGGGGAGCTCAGAGGGCAAAGGGACAGGGACCCACAGGGCCCTCTCCACAGGAAGGGTGGCTGCACTCAGGGTGGGAGATGATGTCCCGTCTGAGGCTCTGCCTCCAGCACCCGGAACACAAATGTCCTTGTTTCCAGTGCTCCCCTGGGGATGTCTTTCCTTGTCCCTGTGACTGTCAAGGTCTGTAGATGTGGCCTGTCTCGCGTTGCTGAGGAAGGAGATGAAGAGCACTGGGTGGCTGTCTGTTCAGTAGATGTTTAAAGGCTGCCCACCATGGGCAGAGACCCCCCTTGGGCTGGACCCAGGCCATGCTATGGAGGGGCTTAATTCGTGGGGGTTCGATCCCAGGATGGTGGTGGGGGGTGGTGCAGCCTAAGGACCTGTAAGCATCAGAGCCGAGGGAGTCGGGGTGCAGGGCCAGAGCCTTCCTGGGTGGGTAGATGTGCTTGATGCCTGGGAGTCCCGCAGGTCTAGGGGACAGCAGCCAGAGTGACCGTCTGAAATGAGCCTTTGGTAGAGATGCGATTTAGAACTGGTTCTTCCTTCCTTTTCTGTCTCAAACCATAAGCTGCCCCCCAGGGCCTGGAAAATGTGGGGTGCAGGTGGCATCTCTCTGGGGTGACCCCCGTCCTGAAGAAGGGTGAGCTTTACAGTGATGACCTGGCCCCCCAAGACGGGCCCCCAGCTCAGCGGAGTCAGTGCAGGGACTACTGAAGGGAATCCAGGCCTGGCAGTGTGGGCGCAGGGCGTTGCCTTCCCTCTTCCTCCACCGTGCGGTGATGCCAGGCCCGTCCCAAACGTGACCCCGATGGAGTGTGATTCCCACGCCGTCTGTGGGGTCTCAAGAGAGTAAGGGGTGGCGTGGCCAGTTCTTACAGGGTGCCAAAGAAATCCTGGTGAAGCCTCCAGTTGGCTGGATGTAAACTGTATTTGGATCATGCCTTGAGCTGCTTAATTAAAGGGGCTGGCATAGTGGTGCACAGTTTACCGTAACAACTCAGCCCAACTCCAGCAGACGGTGCCGTCCAGGAAACCAGGCGCTGCCAAGGATTCCAGCCCCGGCCCCACCTTCCCTTTAGCAGTCCGTGTTGTTTGGGTAGTCTGTGGCCAGTGTAGCTCTGTTTCAGAGTGTGGGGTCCCCGCTGAAAGGACTGGCGTGGGTCATTGTTTGAAAAGAATCAGGCCCCAGTGAGGTTCGCTGAAAGCTAACACTGGATGCAGCAGAATCTGAGTGTGACGGGAAGTCAGTGTCACCATTTTGAGGGTGATGGACACGTTTTCTGCACTCTAGCCCTGTGGAAGCGCTGGCTGACAGCAGCCTGGCTGTCCGAATTCCAAAGAAATGGGCTCCTTCTAAATTTTCAGGTGCTGCTGCATACTCAGGAGCACACACCCTCCTTGTCCTTGTGGGTGGGAGTGTCCTTGGATGGAGAGGGTGCCCCACTGTGCCACGTCTCAGCAGCCCCACCAGAGCTGCGTCCCCTCCCCCGTGCAGGTGCAAGGAGCTCACCTGAGGCTGAGGCAGGCCCAGGCCCAGCACTCGCAGGAGGTCCGGCAGCTGCAGGAGCAGATGAGCCGGCTGGTGCCCCAGGACCGTGTGGCTGAGCTGCAGCGCCTGCTCAGCCTTCAGGGAGAGCAGGCCAGGAGGCGCCTGGATGCACAGTGGGTGAGTGGGGGTGCAGCGAGAGGCGGCTGAGGAGATGAGGAGGAGGGCAAGGCGGGCCCAGCGGTCCTCAGTTACCCAGAAGCTGCCCAAGTGTGAATATGTGAGTCACAAATGTAGCATGTCAGATGGTGAAGAGGGCTGCAGGGAGAGGGGCAGCGTGGTTTTTAAACAGGGTGGCCAGACAAGGCCTCACAGGTGATCCCTGAGGTGGTGAAACCTGAAGGAGGTGAGGGAGTGGCAGAGGCCCTGGGGTAGGGGATACTTGGCATGTTCCAGGGGAGCAGGGACCGGAGGCCGAGGGCAGAGAGCAGAGGGTGACAGACCGGGCCCAGCAGGTGCCGCAGACCGTGCAGGTGGTGGGCGATGGGAGACAGTGGCTCCGAGCATGGACTGTGGAGGGTGGGATCCCGCCCACCACCTCCCAGCTGAGTGACCTTGGGCAAGCGAACCTCTCTGTGCCTCAGTTTCTCATCTGTCAAGTCCTGCTGGCAGTGGCGTCCACCTCAAGGCTTATCGGGAGGCATCAATGGGTTGGCGCTTTTAGAGCACTTGAAGAGGCCCCGGCACCGCTGTGCCCTGTGCAAGAGTTTAATTCAAAAGGCTGAGGGAATAACTCACGCCTGAAATTCCCAACATAGTTCATAGTTCATCAGGGACAGACTTCAGGAGAGATCAGGAGCCAGAGGGCAGGGGACACCCTTATGGAAAAGGAATTGGCACACGACTTGAAAAGTGGGTAACATTTGATGTTTGTCAAGTGTAAATTCTAATGAACAACCACCTTGTAACATCACACAAAGGGGTCAAGCTAAAGTTAAGTGATGCTACATTATTGACAAACAAAGTTAAGGAGAATCCTCCTAGAAAAAGACACTAACACAGCGAGGAAATCTCACTTTGGAGTTATTTATGGTTAAAATCTTAGGACCAGTTCTCTGAGGACAAATGAGTCTGCTGATTCTCCCTGAACGACAAAGAGAAAGAAAAGCTGTGTGGTTTGGGCCAGGACATTGTTTTGTTTTGTTTTGTTTTGTTTTGTTTTGTTTTGTTTTGTTTTTTGAGACAGAGTCTGACTCTGTTGCCAGGCTGGAGTGTAGTGGTGTAATCTTGGCTTACTGCAACCTCCACCTCCCGGGTTCAAGTGAATCCCTGTCTCAGCCTCCCAAGTAGCTGGGATTACAGGTACGCACCACCACATCTGGCTAAATTTTGCATTTTTTGGTAGAGATGGGGTTTCACCATGTTGGCCAGGTCAGTCTTGAACTCCTGACCTTAGGTGATCCACCCGCCTCAGCCTCCCAAAGTGCTGGGATTACAGGCGTGAGCCTGGCCACCTGCAACCTTCTTTTATGGCAGGAAGAACATGAGAAACAGCTGAAAGCCACAGAAGAGCGGGTAGAAGAGGCGGAGATGATTCTGAAGAATATGGAAATGCTCCTCCAAGAGAAAGTGGATGAGCTGAAGGAGCAGGTGAGTGATGGGTGCTGCTGCTTTTGTGCTCACGTCCTCTTCTGAGCGCTCTCCACTTTTATGGGCGTGCAGGCGGCTAATACAGGAAAAGGCTGTCTTGTCACGGAAGTCCAGGGAACTAAATGCATACCCTACACTGCAGGTGCACATTGCATTTATTTTCCTTCGGGAATGGTTTTAAGATCTGTCCTGTGGGTGTTCACATACACTTAGAAAGGATTCATCCGTTCATTTGTTCGTGTAGTCATTCGGGCGTGCCCGAGCACCTCTGGTCGAAGCTTTCCTAGGTAGACCTGAGATGAGCAGGGCTGAGCCTACATCCCGGACCTGACCCTCTGGAGACAGAGGTAGATGCTTCCATAGAGCATACATGCCCTTGGGCCATGATGAATGCTCTGAAAATGAGAGAATAGAGGTGAAGGGAGCTGGTGGGGTGGTCAAGGCCACTTTGAAGAGCCAGCATTTGGACAGATGCCCAGTGACCAGCACAGGAAGGTCCAGCTGTGTCCCCGGCAGAGGCCAGGTGGCATTTGGAAGGCTCACTGGGTGGGAGATGGACACATCTCCTCATGTCTGGGGGACCCCAAGGAGGGTGCATTCCAGGCAGCGCACAGCCATGGAGGAGGTCGCCATGGCTGGTGTGAACTGGTAGGGCTCAGGTAGGCAGCACCTGTCGTGTGTGTCCTGGAAGCCAAGGTCAGGGGTTTGGGTTTTATCATAATGGCAGTTAGAAGGTATTGTGAGATTTTAAGCAAAAGCATGACAAGATCTATCTTTTAAAAGAAACCATACTAGGGAAAAAGTCACTTGGGCTGCTATAAGGAGCAAAGACCAACAATGAGGTGCCACAGCTCACCTGATCTATGGATGCTCGAAGTCCAACTCAGCAGCTGGGAACTGACGTGCACAGGAGCAGCGACGTGCGGCAATGCTGTGCCCTGAGGGCTGATGGCACAGTGTGGGGCAGACCCCACACACAGGTGTGAAGTGCACACACACAGGAAGAGAGAACCTGGCCCACGGACCATTCAGTTGTTAGGAGATATTATTAAGAGAAATGTGAAAACCTAGAAGTATTTTGTGCTCCATCGTACAGTATGGTTTGGTCTACGTGAGGGGATCCAGCTCAGCCCAAACTAGACAAGGCGCATTTGTGGAAGGTGCTCCCGGGTAGTCCCTCCCTGGGGCCACCGTCCTTGCCCAGCTCCCCTCCCCTGCTGGTGCCCCCAGTCCCTCTCATCCTTTCCTCCCTGGCACACCCACAGTCCTCAGTTGCTGTCTCAGCCCGTGGCACACGGCCTGGTTGGAAATCCACTGCTTCTGCACACTGCCTGGCCCTGAGCCCAGGCCACAGCTTGGGGCCTCAGTACTGCACCATCCTGTGGCTGCTTCCTCCCTGCTTCCCTGGCTCATGGCCCTGCTGACCTCCACAGCCAGGAGAGCACGCAGATGAACCTATTCACACTCACAGCCCAGGGCCTTTTTTTTTGAGGACTGTCCATTTTGGCCTGAAGTCCCTGAAGTCACTTGTTTTCTATAGCCTACAAGCTGCCTCAAGTTTTCTCCACCACATAGCCCAGCAGATTCTCCAATTCTCCTCTCTCATGCCAGGGTACCGAAAACTTATCATTATAATGCAGTATTTGTGTCAGTTTTTTTTTCTTTTGGGAGACGGAGTCTCGCTCTGCTCGCCCAGGCGCTGGAGTGCAGTGGCGCGATCTCTCTGCTCTGCAGCTCCGCCCGGAGTTCACACACCACTACTCCTGCCTCAGCCTCCCAGTAGCTGAGACTACAGGTGCCTGCCACCACGCCCGGCTAATTTTTTTTGTATTTTTAGTAGAGACAGGGTTTTACCTTGTTAGCTAGGATGGTCTCGATCTCTGGCCTTGGGATCACCTCGTCCTCCCAAAGTGCTGGGATTACAAGCACGCAAGCCCCCACCTGACCTTGGGTCAGATTTCTAAACCCCAAAACTATGGTTTGCATAAATGTGGGAGGATAAAGAGGAAGCAGGCTGATCTGTAGCCTTTCTCCACCGGCCTCATGCAAGTAAGTGGCTTCCTCCTCTCTAGTTTGAAAAGAATGCGAAGTCCGACCTGCTACTGAAGGAGCTGTATGTGGAGAATGCCCACCTGGTGAAGCCACTTCAGGTCACTGAGGAGAGAAAAGCGAGGCGCCGAAAAACAAGCACAGCATCTTGGGAAAGAAAAAGTTCGCTCTCAACAAACTCGTCAGTAGGATTGCCCCGCAGCCTCTCTGTGCTGAGGCAGTTGTTTCAGGATTCACCATTGGAGCTCTTTTTAAATTAAGCCACTGTGATGCCTTAGTTTTCCGTGGGTCATGAGCCATGAGTCCTAGGACACTGTGAGGATTGGGATTCTTGTGTTCCCAGACAGTTAATGCCCTGCCCTAGGCAAAATCAGGAGTCGGGGCTGGGGAAATATGCATGTTGCAAAAGCCTGCGTTTTTATTGGCGGTCTGAGTAATTTTTCGCCAGCAGAAATTCCCAGTTTTTGCCACTTGTTGGGAGGCAGATTCACAGGAGCTGTCAGCGGAGCAGCTAAGTGAGCAGTTCTGCTGGGCTGGCACTCCATGTGTGGTACTTCCTGACCCGGCTGTCAGATTGAAAGCGTAAATCAGCTCTGCAATACAGTTTTGCCATTTCTTTTGTTGTTCTGCTGAGCTTAGGTTATTAGAACTCTTGGTGCGGCCGGAGTGCCTACACACACATTCAGAAAGGCTTCACTCACTGGGAACGTCAACCTTGCGAGAAAAGAGGGAAGCTTCTTCTCCAGGGACATATCTGTGGACTCAGGGATGACCGGTGTTTGTGCAAAATGCACAATCTTTTTCCATATGAAATGTCATCACACAGAAGTGTACACTATATGTAAAAAAAGAAAAAAAAGTATAGTTTTTATATTATGATGTATCTACCAATTATGGCCATATGGCTGATTGGAATGTACTGCTGTAATATAAAAAGTCACTGTATTTGCAATAAATTCTTTTCTATTAAAATTGACTTCTAGTTGTTAATTTTTTAAACTATAAATATTCAAACATACAGGAAAACAGTTATATAAACACCATGTATCCATCAAATATGTAGTAAGAATAATATCCTGCCACACGCTTGCACTGGCATGTAGAGCCGGACCTTTGTTCTGTTCTCAGCGTCCGCCTGCTACAGAGGCATCCACTTCATCCCAAAGCAGGCATGTCTTCTCCTTTCTGCAGAGAAAAATGTCACAACACTGTGGAAAGACAACAAAGCCTGGAACAGATGGAAAGTTCGTTTCTTTGGAAGATTTGGCAACATGACTGCTTCTCCAGAGTTTGCTATTAAATGTAATTAGTCCCAATAAAAATACAGATGTTCCATTACTGAGAAATCAACCCCAAGAATTGGATTGAGCGTTCTAAAGTTTTCCTTATAAACTATAAATAAGCAAACAAAATAGCGGAAAGCTCAAGAAGAAAGAGCAATGTGTGGGGACTAGTTCTGCCAGTTATTAAAATACAAATTACAGTACAGTTTATTATTACAGTGTATGCATTTGTCAAAACTCTTGAGGGAGTACACTTATTCCTTCACTTGGAGGAGCTTCTGTCTGAGGCTGGAGTAATGACATTGGGTAACCAGGAGACTGAACAACATAAGATCTCTACTGACATCTAGAACCACCACACACGACACCCAGCATCCGTGCAGCCCCAGCCTTACCAGGGCTTAGGCCAACTAAGACCCAGCAAATCTCAAAGTACGAAGATTCCCAAATATACAATGTATGTACTGTGACCACAATGGAATTAAGTCTGAAATCTAACTCACAATATAAAGCTGGAAACCATCATTCTCAGCAAACTATCTCAAGGACAGAAAACCCAGAAGCATGCATAACATGTTCTCACTCATAGGTGGAAATTAACAGACGGCGAGAACAACACTTCTGGACTGGGGAGTGAGAACATCACACACGGGGCCTGTTGTGGGGTGAGGAGGTGTGAGAGGATGGCATTAGGAGATAGACCTAATGTAAATGATGAAGTTAATGGAACAGCACAATATGGCACATGTATACATATGTAACAAACCTGCATAAGTTGTACACATGAACCCTGAAACTTAAAGTATAATAAAAAAATAAAAATGAGGTAAAGTGAAAAGATTTAAAAATTAAATTATTACATGTGCCCTGAAAAAAATCTATCCCCAGTTTCTGCTGCTGAATAACTTACAAATAAAAAGAAAAGAGATAAGAGGAAATTAGGAAATATTCTGGGTCAGGTAAAATTAAACAATATATCAAAATTTGTAGGCTGGGGTAAAGCATTGTAGGCAAGAAAAGAATCACAGCACCAAGCATAGCTTAGAATAGAAAAACTCAAGTCAATACCTGACTTCAACCACACACCTTAAATAATTCGACAAAGGCAAATTAAACCCAAAGTCAAAGAAAATGATGATCAAAGCAGAAACCAAAGAACAGAACAGTTGCTTACAACATACTTGCCAGGCTGAAGGCAGTTGTGTTAAGTTTAGTTGGCGACCACACTCAGTCACAGATTCCCTACACCCCACCCGATTACCCTATGCCTGCTTAGGTACTCCAGCAATGTGACGACTGTAACAGCTCATGTGGCCCAAGAAACTCTAATACGGCTTGTTTGTTGACCCACTTGAAAAATGAAAACAAAGAATAGACAAAGTAGACCAAAGGCATGTATTCTTTTAGAAGATTAGTAAAACTGATAAACTTCTAGTCCAGTCAGTATAAAAAGAAAAAAAAACTAATATGAAATGAAGTGATATCCACTACAGGTACTATCACTACTAATCTACAGATATAAGCATCAAAAAGGCAATATTATGAAGAACACTTCTATTTTGAGAGACAGAGATACTGTTGCTAGGCTGGAGCGCAGTGGCATGATTCTGCTCACTGCAGCCTCCAGCCTGCCTCAGCCTCCCGAGTAGCTGAGACTACAGAGTGCATAGCACCATTACCACAGCAATTTTTTTTTTTCCTGACATCTCACTATGTTGCCCAGGCTGGTCTCAAACTCCTGAGCTCAAGTAATCCTGTCCTGCCCACACCTTGGCCTCCCAAAGTGCTGGGATTACAGGCGTGAGCCCTTTCTTGCTGGCCACGCCGGGGCTTAACTTTATATAAATAAATTTGTAGTAACTTAGATAAAATGGAGAATACATAATTGCCAAAGCTCATTCAAGAAAAATGGATAATCAAAATAGCCATGTGTATTTATTAAGCCAAAAACTGTAGTTGAAAACAACCCACAAAGAAACTTCAGGCCCAGATGGCTTAAATAGAATTCTGTAAACATGTAAGAAATAAATAATACCATGTATGTAAAACGTATGATAGATATATATTGGTTTCATCCATGGCTCCTTGTTCATAACTCCCCTTGGCCTTCGTTGCAGTCTTTGTTGTAATGCTGTTTAGGCCTCATGAGAGAGAACAATCTCTCTTTCTGCCCTCCTTTCACCTGCTTCTTTTTCTCTCCCCGGCAAGAATCTTCCCGCCTTTCTGGCTTGGAGCTGGCTGTAAGAATTTTCTGATAGGAGCACTGCCCCATACTCTGAAGGACTGCAGCAGGGGCTAAGAACGAACCTGAGCAGACGGGCCTGTGCTGGATGGCGCCACTCAGACTATGAGCATTAGATCATACCTTTTGTCAATCGTTTCTCTACTTGGTTACTCGATCATGCCTATCTAATGAGATTTCTATAAAGGCCCAAAGGACAGAGGTTTTGGTGACTTCCGGATTGCTACAACCCAGACACCCCTTATGGAGGCTCCTGGAGGGTGGTGGGCATTGAAGCTCCCATGTGCCTTCCCCACACATCTTCCCCTGTGTACCTCTTCCATTTGGATCCTTTCACCTGCATATTGTACCATATCCTTTATAATGGCACAAAGCCCAGTAAGCTTAAGTGTTTCTGAGTTCCATGAGCTGCTCAAGCCGTTAATTTGAATCAAGAGGGGGATCATGAGAACTCCAACTTGAAGCTAGTTGGTCACAATCTCAGAGAGGCCCCAGACTTGTGACGGGCGTCTGCAGGGAGAACTTAGCTGGACTGAGCCCTGAGCCTGTACAGGATCTGGCCTTTATCTCCAGTGTTGGAACTGAAGTAGAAGTAGAGGACATGCCTGGAGTCACTGCAGAGCTTAAGTATGTGGGAAAACCCCCACACATTTTAGTCTCACAGAAGTCTTCTGTGTTGTTGAGTAAACAGAACAGTTTTTTTTCTATTTAGAAAAACTCTTCCAAAAAAATTGAAAAGGAGGGACTATTTTCCCAAGAACACCAGAATAATCTTTCTCACGCACACTGATGCAAAAATTCTACAAAAAAGTTTCAAATAAAATCCTACAAAAACGATAATATATCATGACCAGGTGTGGTTTATGCCGAAGAATGCAGGAGGGTTTATTGTAGCATTGAACTCAATTGTAACATTGAAAACTCAATCGATCAATCAGCCACTATGGTGTCACCAAAGACTAGCAAACTAAAAAAGAGACAAGCCATCTTAACAGATGCAGAAAAGGAAAATGTGACAAAATCCCAGCATCCATTTCTGATTTTTAAAATTCTCAGTAAACTAGGTGTGGCAAGTCTGTTCTCATGCTAATAAAGACATATGCACAAGGTGGAGTGAGAAGTTTAAAAAGGAAGAGGTTTAATTGACTCAGTTCACACAAACAGGAAGCCTCACAATCACGGCAGAAGGCAAATGGACAGAACCAAAATCCACGTCTTACCCACATGCTGGCAGGCAAAAGAGCATGTCCCATTTATAAACCATCGAATCTGTGAGACTTTATTGACTAAAGAAAAGTATGGAAACTACCCTCTTAGGTTAATTATCTAGACTGGCCCTGCCCTTGACATCTACAAACAACACAGAGCTAACATCATCATGAAAAGATTGTTTTTCTTAACTAGATCAGGGAACAAGATAGAAATTGTCTTCTCTGACCAATATGTTAGTACTCCACTGGAAGTTCTAACCAATGCAATCAGGCAAGAAAAAGAAATAAAAGGCATTCGGGAGAGAAAGGAAGTAAAACTCTTTATTAATAGAACCACATGACTACGCTGTTATTTATTATAATGGTTTGAAAAAAAAACCATGAGAACTCACAGTTTACTTGAAAAGGCTGAAGGATACAAGTTCAACATCAATTGTACTTCCTATTTTACTAGCAACAAGCAGTTAAATTTGAAATTTAAATACCATTTAGCATCAAAACTATAAGCAGCTGACATGGTAGACCTGTACGAACTACAAGATTATTAAGAGAAACAGAAGACAGAAACATTATTACATGGGAGAGGGCAGACCTTTTGTTTATAGGCCAGAAGACTCAATATCACAAGATGTCAATTCTCCCAACATTTTATATATAGAATTCAATGCAATCTCAATCAAAGTGCTAACAGAGTTTTATTGTAGAAATTGACAAGTTGATCCTAATTTTCTTTGCAGAGAGAAGTCTCACTTTTGTCTGCCCAGGCTGGAGTGCAGTGGTGCCCAGTGTGATCTCAGCTCACTGCAGCCGCCCAGCCTCTGGGGCTCAAGTGATCCTCCCACCTCCTACCTGTGCCCACCATGTAGCTGGACTACAGGCATACACCACACCCAGCTAATTTTTATATTTTTGTGAGACGGAAGGTTTTTACCGCTGACCCAGGCAGGTCTGGGCCTCCTGGCTCCTCCGCCCACCTAGGCGCCCCAGTTCAGGATTGCAGGCATAAGCACCACACCCTGCCTATTCCCAGGTTTCCCTGCATCAAAAGCAAAGGACTTAGCATGGCAAAACAAATCTCAAAAAAGTGGTACATTGAGCCAATTGCAGGCTCACGCCTGTAACCTTGCCACAGTACATGGGGAGGATGAAGCTAGTGGACTGCCTTCAGCTCAGGAGTTCAAGCACACAGCCTGGCCATCTCACCGGTGAAACCCCATCTACAAAAAAATACAAACAACAACAAAACTAAGATGCATTAATACTATCTATTCAAGAATTATTACGAAAGGTTACACACACACATACAAATATGGTGATATTGGCATGTTCAGGAGAGAAAAACAGGTCAATGAACAAAACAAAGTCCTGAAATAAACCCATACACACTGACAACTACTTTTAACAAAAGGAAATGCAAAGCTGATAGAGCAAAAGGGCAGTCCTTCAAAAAATGGTAGTGAAACAGCTGGGTATCTATATGCCAAGAAAAGTAGAGGTGGTTGCTTTGCCTTGCAACATATAGAAAATTCATTCAAATGGATGGCTCCCAAGCGGCGAATGTGGCTCTTACCCGTAATCCCAAGCACGCGAGGCCAAGGTGGAGTCACTTGGGGTTTAGGAGTTCGAAACCAGCCTAGCCAACACAGTAAAAACCCACTGTCTCTACTAAAAATACAAAAATTAGCCAGATGTGGTGGCTGCGCCTATATTCAGCTGCACAGGAGGCTGGAGACAAAAGAATCGCGGGCCCAGGGATGGCGATTCCACCAGTGTGCAGGCCAAAGATCACCGCAACCACTTTTTTAACCTGGGTGACAGAGCGCGTCTCCAAACAAACAAAGAAACAAAAAACAAAACAGAACAAAACGGGTTATAGACCAAAGTATAAAAGAAAAGCTTAAAATTACAACACTTCAGAAGAAAAAGGAAAAAAAAAAAAGAATTCCCAGCGTGCTTGCAGGATGGGAAAAGATTTCTTGGAGTGCAACATCCAAAGCATAAAAAGAACAAGCGAATAGAAGCTGGATTTCATCATTTAAAATATCAGCTGTTTAAAGATACCAGCTGCATTAGGAGCGAGGCGCGCGGTGGCTCAAGCCTGGCTCCCAGCACTTTGGGAGGCCGAGGCAGGCGGATCAGAAAGGTCAGGGAGATCAGAACCTCACCAGCTGAACCACGGTGAAACCCGTCTCTACTAAAAATACAATAAATTAGCGGGCATGGTGGCGGGTGCCTGTCGTCCCAGCTACTCGGGGAGGCTGAGGCAGGAGAATGGCTTGAACCCAGGAGGCGGAGCTTGCAGTGAGCAGAGATCGCTGCCACTGCACTCCAGCCTGGGCGACAGGGCAGGCGGATCACGAGGTCAGGAGATCAAGACCATCCTGGCTAACACGGTGAAACCCCGTCTCTACTAAAAATACAAAATAAATTAGCCAGGCATGGTGGCGGGTGCCTGTAGTCCCAGCTACTCGGGAGGCTGAGGCAGGAGAATGGCGTGAACCCAGGAGGCGGAGCTTGCAGTGAGCAGAGATCGCACCACTGCACTCCAGCCTGGGCGACAGAGCAAGACTCTGTATCAAAAAAAAAAAAAAAAAAAAAAAAAAAAAAAAACCATTGAAAGCCAATCAACTCTTCATGTGACTTTTCAGTCAATCTGAATCTCAGGGAAAACTGTACAAAGTTCCTTCTCTAGCCCCAATTTCACTGTCCCTTTCCAAAGTGGTGATACTGGTGATCATACCACAGCCACAAGCCACACCAGCCACCATGGTGGAAATGTGCAAAATCCATGTGTATCCTTCCTTTCCAAATATCCAGGTGATAAATTAGTATGTCATTAAACATTACATATACCAAAAATTTCTACAGACCATCATCTTTACTTGCTCATGTGATTTGAAAATGTGTATCTCAGAAATTTAGCTCTCTAGCTTGTACAATACACATGACCAGAAAACAAGACACACAGGATCTACCTTCTTCCTATCCAGCCAAGTGACTGATTATTTAAGAGATTCAAAAGTAACCATGTTTACTTTCATTTAAAAAACACACTGTATGGCCGGGCGCGGTGGCTCAAGCCTGTAATCCCAGCACTTTGGCAGGCCGAGATGGGCGGATCACGAAGTCAGGAGATCGAGACCATCCTGGCTAACATGGTGAAACCCTGTCTCTACTAAAAAATACAAAATACTAGCCGGGCAAGGTGGCGGGCGCCTGTAGTCCCAGCTACTCGGGAGGCTGAGGCAGGAGAACGGCGTGAACCTGGGAGGCGGAGCTTGCAGTGAGCTGAGATCTGGCCACTGCACTCCAGCCTGGGCGACAGGGCAAGACTCCGTCTCCAAAAAAAAAAACACAAAAAAAAACACTGTAACAACTATGTAGGAATGCTGTGATTATAGATACAGCTTATTAGAAAAAGGAGTAGGGGCCAGGTGCAGTGGCTCACACCTGTGATCTCAACACTTTGAGAGGCCAAGGTGGGAGGACTGCTTGAGGCCAGCAGTTTGAGACCAGCTTGGGCAACATAGTGAGACACTTTCTACAAAACAAAACAAAACCAACACCAAAAACGAGTAGGAAGAAAAGAAGAAAGTCTTTAATAGCAAATTATACTTCTTAGCCAAGTATTCTTAGTTACCTTCAACAATGTCTGTAGCTTGTAAATCAAAGAGGGAGGTGAAGGGAGGGTGGAGAGAGTGAGTACAGAGGCATCCATGAGTTGGGTGACGCCTGGGTAGGAGTGCCTCAGTGCATGATCATGACAGGATGTGCTCCAGTACTCCTTGTCTGATCAGCTGCTCACACTTCCAACGAGGTAAAAAGTGCTGAGGGGACAAGAAGGGATGCAGAAAGAGTAAAATAAATGATTGGGAAATAATTTGAAATTATTTCTTGTATCATTAAAAAGTAGCACTGATTAGTTTTCAAACTCCAACAAGTAAGTAGTTAAAAGTTAAACTTAAGGGGTTGGGCGCAGTGGCTGACACCTGTAATCCCAGCACTTTGGGACGCCAAGGCAGGCGGATCACCTGAGGTCGGGGGTTCGAGACCAGCCTGACCAACACGGAGAAACCGTGTCTCTACTAAAAAATACAAAATTGGGCCGGGTGCAGTGGCTCACGCCTGTAATCCCAGCACTTTGGGAGGCCGAGGCGGGTGGATCACGAGGTCAGGAGATCGAGACCATCGTGGCTGACATGGTGAAACCCAGTCTCAACTAAAAATGCAAAAAATTAGCCAGGCACAGTGGCAGGCGCCTGTAATCCCAGATATTCGGAAGGCTGAGGCAGGAGAATGGCATGAACCCGGGAGGTGGAGCTTGCAGTGAGCTGAGACCGCGCCACTGCACTCCAGCCTGGGTGACAGAGCGAGACTGTCTCAAAAAAAAAAAACAAAAAACAAAATTAGCCGGGCACGGTGGAGCATGCCTGTAATCCCAACTACACAGGAGGCTGAGGCAGGAGAATCGCTTGAACCTGGGAGGTGGAGGCTGCAGTGAGCCGAGATCGTGCCATTGCACTCCAGCCTGGGCAACAAGAGAAAACTCCATCTCAAAAAAAAAAAGTTAAACTTAACTATATTTGCTGTTTTAATCACACTGAAATTGATGCTATTTAGAGTTGTACGGAATTCTGACTTTTACAAATGAATTCAGTTTGCTTAAGTTCAATTCAACTAAGACTTCTGAATCTGGTAGGTATTGTCCTTAGTGTTTGTATTTTTTAAATTTATGCACAGAGAAATCCAGATAGGTGTGATTTGGATTATCACTGGCCCAACAGCCTATCAGGAAGACCCATGAAAGGCTCATTTCTCCATAAAACCTGCTCTAGGATTTCAGAGTCTGAACATTCTTCTAATAACAAGTGACAACTTTCCTCCTCTATTTCTCAAGGATGAAAAGTATCCATGACCCACAGTGCGGGTGCTATTCACGTGGTACGGGGGAAGATGCCAGCACCCAGGTATTGCTTGTCCCGTGTCTTCCTAAGAGGACGTCGCTCTTGCTCTAAGGGAACCAGGGGCAAGTGGAAAGATGTCCCCTTCCCTCTCAAACACAAGGACTTACAGAAAACACTGACTGCTCTGGAGGAGGGAAGCTGAGGAAGCAAGGCAGGAAGGCTTTCCGATCCACAGGGGGTCAAAAAAATCTCAAAGGAAGATCTCAAGGAAGCAAAATGTAACCTCAGTAGCCATGTGCACGTGAAGGTCCTGCCTCACAAACTCAAAGGCCTTACAAGAGATCCATGACCAAATTCTTCTAAACCAATCTTGAAGATACATGAGCCAAGAAAAATGTAAAAAAACACAACAAAAACAAAATAACTGAGTTGTTCATTTAATATCCATACTAATGCTGGTATTAAAACAGATGGAGAGTATTGATTTCTGGATAAAAATAAACAGTGCTTGGCATAGTGACAAAAATAAAAGAATGTATATTAGAAAATGTTTCCCAGCCAGGCACGGTGGCTCACACTTGTAATCCCAGCACTTTGGGAGGCCGAGGCAGGTGGATCACGAGGTCAGGAGTTCGAGACCAGCCTGAACAACATGGTGAAACCCCGTCTCTACTAAAAAAAAAATACAAAAATTAGCCAGGCATGGTGACATGCGCCTGTAATCCCAGCTACTCAGGAGGCTGAGGCAGGAGAATCGCTTGAACCCAGGAGGCAGAGGTTGCAGTGAGCCAAGATCGCGCCACTGCACTCTAGCCTGGGTGACAGAGGGAAACTCCATCTCAAAAAAAAAGCATATATATATATATACACACACACACACACACACACATATATACACACATATAAAATGTTTCCTACTAATTCTTTAGAGTATATGAATGATCTACACCAAATTCTACAGAAAATTCAGATATGGTTGAACATTAGAAGCCCCTAATACCAACCATCAACTGTGGCTGATATTGTTTCTTTTTAATGCCTCCATTTTTGTAATTGAGGGTGGGGTCACAGCTGAGAAACAGACTTTAAAAATTCAACCACCAGGCCAGGCGCGGTGGCTCACACCTGTAATCCCAGCACTTTGGGAGGCCGAGGTGGGAAGATCACCTGAGGTCAGGAATTTGAAACCAGCCTGGCCAACATGGTGAAATCCCACCTCTACTAAAAAAACTACAAAAATTAGCCAGGCATGGTGGCAGGCGCCTATAATCCCAGCTACTTGAGAGGCTGAGGCAGGAGAACTGCTTGAACCCGGGAGGCAGAGGTTGCAGTGAGCCAAGATTGCGCCATTGTACTCCAGCCTGGGGGACAAGAGCGAGACTTTGTCTCAAAAAAAAAAAAATTCAACCACAGGACAGCATTTGGGATGAAGGGACATTTCACATATCTTGCTTTATGAGGATGGCTTTTTTCTTGTTCTTGTGAACCAGAGCTTCCTCCTGGGCCCTCCAGAAATATAGCTGCTTATCAGAGCATTAATTCATTATCTGCTTTCAATTCATTAGTGTCCTAAGAGAATACTGGGACAGAAATTGTTGCCTTAACAACCAAAGACTTTACGGAACCCTCAAAATCTTTTTTAAAAATATTCAACCTTTGTTTTAGAAGCTCCAAGGGTATTAGTAAAACAATTTTAGTCAACTATTAGTAAAACAGTTTTAAAGCTCCAAGGGTATTAGTAAAATAACAGATCAACTCAACCTGTTAGGAAAATAAGCTCAAGAACCACATGACCTGAAACATTCTTTTGCTCCCGCCATGAACAAAGTGAACACCAAATCCTTAGGGTCATCAGATCCTAAATGGCTGACCCCAAGATGGCAGGCAAGGAAAGAAAAAGAACAGCTTTTATTAGGTCATTTTTCCTCCTCACGACTTCAGAAAATAGGGATAGGATAAAAAATTTAGTGGTCAGGCACAGTGGCTTACACCTATAATCCCAGCACTTTGGGAGGCTGAGGTGGGTGGATTGCTTGAGCTCAGTAGTTCAAGACCAGCATGGCCAACTGGTGAAACTCCGTCTTTACAAAAAATACAGAAATTAAACGGGTGTGGTGGTGCACACCTGTGGTCCAGCTACTTGGGAGGCTGAGGGCGGGGGATCACTTGAGCCCAGGAGGCAGATGTTGCAATGAGCAGAGACTGCGCCACTGCACTCCAGCCTGGGGAACACAGCCAGACCCTGCCTCAAAAAAATAATAATAGACCAGGCGCAGTGGCTCACAGCTGTAATCCCAGCACTTTGGGGCAGAGGCAGGCAGATCACAAGGTCAGGAGATCAAGACCATCCTTGCTAACACAGTGAAACCCCGTCTCTACCAAAAATACAAAAAAAAAAAAAAAATTAGCCAGGAGTGGTGGCGGGCGCCTGTAGTCCCAGCTACTTGGGAGGCTGAGGCAGAAGAATGGTGTGAACCCAGAAGGCGGAGCTTGCAGTGAGTGGAGATTGTGTTGCTGCACTCCAGCCTGGGCAACAGAGCGAGACTCTGTCTCAAAAATAAATAAATAAATAAAAGTAATAATTTAGCCAATGTGAATTCATCTAATGTGAATTTGAAGATTTCTAGGGAAATAATTAATATACTGAGATTACTTTGGGCATGGTGGTTCACACCTGTAATCCTAGCACATTAGGATGCCAAGGTGGGTGGATTGCTTGAGCCCAGGAGTTCGAGACTAGCATGGTCAACACAGCAAGACCCCATCTCTATTTTCTTTAAAAATAGATAGATAGATAGATAGATAGATAGATAGATAGATAGATAGAGATAGATAGATAGATAGATAGATAGATAGATAGATAGATAGACAGATAGATATAGATAAAGAGAGAGATTCCTTATAAGGACAAATTTAGCTTAAGTTACAACTTTACAATTTTAATCTTCCTCTATTAAATTGTTATGTTTACATACCAAATACCTGAAAATTCTTTTTTTGAAAATAGAAAAATCTGTATCACTATTGGCTTGCTAAAGAACTAGGATTTATAAGGCAAAGTGTAAGGTAAAAAAACTGCTTAGGAACTTTAAATATAAGCAATATCTTACTAAATGAATTAATCGTTTCTTAATATATGCAACATTTGCTTCCAGTCTTATTATTCAGAAAAAGTACAGAACAGGGTGTATTATACTAAAGATAATGCCTAAGATATAAACGATCAACACAAGTTGATATTTGTTTTGCTATTCCAACTTTTCCACCATTCAGCACTCATAAGATTTAAAGTAAAGTATCTGAAGATAAGAAATACCTGGCTATTTTTTTTTAATAGGACTGAAGTGCCATCATCAACTTCAAATTCTCCATAGTCTTTTAGACATCGGACCTGAAAGAAAAAACGTGAGATATTTCATCTAAATTAGTTTTTAATATGCAGTGACCAAAAAATAAATCGGCATTATACAAATACACAGACAGTAAGGACTTTGTGTTTCCTCTCTGTGTACTTAGGCCTACAACTACTACTGTGGTATTCTAATAGTTTCAAGTGTCCAGTTTTGACAGGGAGGAAGAAAAATCGCAAAATCTCTGCTAGTAAATAAATGTCAGTGCTGACAGCAAGGTGATGAAGGAAGACAACGATGTTGTCTCCTTTCCCTCTGAAATCTTGAAAAATTAAGCAGATGAAATATCTATCCACAAAGAATGCTTTAGATCTGCTCCAACCTGCTTCTTATAGATCCCTCCTATAAAATATCAATATCTGAAAATGGGACACAGGATAGTCTGCAGTATTTGTTTTTGGAAGCAATTCTTCCAGTCCCATTCAAAATTCAGATGATTTCCCAGGAATACTTAAAAGTACACCATGGAGGAGCAGATGCCACCTCACGTGACAGGATTCAGGAGTGGCAGCCTTCTGATATCCACCTCTGCAACTGCAAAGGTGCTCCCAGGTACAGGTTACAGACCTGCTACAGCACTAAGTGCTGCCACAGGAAGTAAGGGGGCACGTTTCCTCTTCTAGGACAATTCAGACTGAAGGTTATTCTCACGAGTACTAGCAATGAACTGCTATTGTCGCCAGGAGAGTCAATGCCAGCAACAACTATGTCTTCCACTTTTCCAGATAATTTTATCATGTCCTACCATCCCTCCAGAACTTTACCAAAGCACTCAAAGTATTTTAATTAAATATGAGAACTATCACTCAGAAAAATCCCCCAAGCCCTTTGCATTTGCTTTTTTTTTTGAGATGGAGTCTTGCTCTGTTGCCCAGACCAGAGTGCAGTGGTGTGATCTCCACGCACTGCAACCTCTGCCTCCCAGGCTCAAGCAATTCTCCTGCCTCAGTCTCCTGGGTTGCTGGGATCACAGGTGCTCACCACCATGCCCGATTAATTTTTAAATTTTTAGTAGAGACGGGGTTTCACCATGATGGCCAGGCTGGTTTCGAACTCCTGACCTTAAATGATTGGCCTGCCCCCGCTTCCAAAGTGCTGGGATTACAGGCATGAGCCACCACGCCTGGCCGCATTGGCTTCTCTAAATAGACTTTTATTTTGGAAAATCTCAAACACATTCAAAAGTAAAAAGACTATTCCATGTCCCCATCAACTGACATCAACACATGGCCAAGTTTGTTCCCCTCACCCACTTGTGGGTTATTCTGAAGCAAATCTTAGATATCATTTCACCTCATCTGTAAATATTCTACTGTCTACTTCTATAAAACCAGCTAATTTAAAAAAATCCCAATACTGACTGTACATGGCAGCTCATGCCTATAATCCCAGCATTTGGGGAGGCTGAGGCAGGTGGATCACCTGAAGTCAGGAATTCAAGACCAGCCTGGTCAACATGGTGAAATCCTGCCTCTACTAAAAACACAAAATTTAGCTGGGTGTGGTGGTGCGTGCTTGTAATCCCAGCTACTCAGGAGGCTGAGGTTGCAATGAGCGAGATCACACCAGTGCACTCCAGCCTGGGTGACAGAATGAGACTCCATCTCAAATAAATAAAATTATTAAGATGAGACAGTATTGGCATTTATTTATTTATTTATTTATTTTTGAGGCAGAGTCTCACTCTGTCACCCAGGCTAGAGTGCAGTGGCGTGATCTTGGCTCACTGGAACCTCCGCTTCCCAGGTTCAAGCAATTCTCCTGCCTCAGCCTCCCTAGCAGCTGGGATTACAGGAGTGCGCCACCATGCCCAGCTAATTTTTTCGTATTTTTAGTAGAGACAGGGTTTCACCATGTTGGCCAGGCTGGTCTCGAATCCTGACCTCAAATGATCCACCTGCAGCCTCCCAAAGTGCTGGGATTACAGGCATGAGCCACCGTGCCCAGCCTTATTTAATAGTTTTTAATATCATGAACTATCTAGTTAGTACCCAAATTTCTCACTTGTCTCATGAATTTTTTTAAGGTTTCCACATTGAAATCAGAATCCAACAAAGCCACACATCACTTTTTTTTTTTAATGTCTTATAAATCTTTTTTAATCTATAGGTTTCACTTCCTCTTTATTTTTTCCTTCCTCTTGGCATTTTATTTGTTGAAAAAATTGGGTGAGTAGTTTGTCACTGCAGCCTTGAACACCTGGTCTCAAGCAATACTCCTGCCTTGGCCTCTCAAAGTGTTGGGATTATAGGCATAAGTCACTGCACAGGGTCAGTACAACTTTTCACAATCAAGATTTTGTTGTGGATTTCTTTGGGGTCATTTAACATGTTCCTTTGTCCCTGCGTTTGCTATAAAATGGAAGTTAGGTCTACATCAGATAAGGTGACTTTGTGGCAAATAGTGTTATGTACTTTCTATTACAAGACGCCATAAAACACAAAGTGCCTGGCTGTCTCTTTTTGGATATTGAGGTTAATCAGTGGGCCCAAGTGTCATCCATACTTATGCAATATAAAGATCTCCATTATCCACTGAAAGGTTTTAGTAAATAAAGGGTTACAAGCATTAATCTAATTCTTATGCTCCTACTACATTTGTTAGCTGGAATTCTTCTATAAAAAGAAATTTCCTTTGTAAACTATTGGGCCACGTTAAGATAAGAGTTTGTATAGTAAAGGCAATGGATGCTTTGATTCCATTCTCTAACTTGCGACCTTTCAAATGAGTTGGATCCCTCACATTCTCCAAGGAAACCTCAAAAATGTTTTATTTTTTAAAAATTTTGTTGGCCAGGCACGGTGGCTCATGCCTGTATTCCCAGCACTTTGGAAGGGAGAGGCAAGAGGATTGCTTGACCTTAGGAGTTCAAGATGAGCCTGGGCAACATAGTGAAATCCCATCTCTACAAAAAATACAAAAATCAGCTGGATGTGGTTGTGAGCACCTGTAGTCACAGCTACTGTGGAAGGTGAAGTGGGAGCTGAGGTGGGAGGATGACTTAAGCCTGGGAGGTGGAGGTTCCTAAAGTAAACCAGGACTCCTTGCACTAAAATAGTTGATTCCACGTCCTAAATAACAAATGAGCCAAGACTGTACCATTGTACACCAGCCTGGGCAACAGACCCAGATACTACCTCAAAAAAAAAAAAAAAATTTTGTTGTTCTTTGGTGTCATTATGCATTCATACTTCTAACATAATTGATGTAATCCAATTCACCGCAGTTATTATTCACGTTGATGCTAAAATTGTCCATTTTTTGGTTAGCAAGAGCTCCTTCAAATTGGCCCCCACATCCTTCCAGCAGTCCCCGCTTAGTCCTTGACACCTTCCTTCCTTTCTAGGAAGACAAGATGTTTCATGCTCAGTTTGTACATTTTTTATTCAAAACCTGGAATCAGCTATTTTCGTGCAAGGAGTCCTGGTTTACTTTAGTGGGAAGTGGCATTTAAGTATAGAATCTGGACACTCATGGCTAACTGGCTTGTCATTGTTTCTAGGCCTTTTCAGTGGGCAAAGCTAATCAATACTTTTTTTTTTTTTTTTTTTTTTGAGACAGAGTTTCGCTCTCGTTGCCCAGGTTGGAGTGCAATAGTGCAGTCTTGGCTCACCGCAACCTCTACTTCCTGGGTTAAGGTGATTCTCCTGCCTCAGACTCCTGCTTAGCTGGGATTACAGGCATGTGCCACCAAGCATGGCTAATTTTGTATTTTTAGTAGAGATGGGGTTTCCCATGTTGGTCAGGCTGGTCTCAAACTCCCGACCTCAGGTGATCTGCCCACCTCGGCCTTCCAAAGTGCTGGGATTACACGCATGAGCCACTGCACCTGACCCCTACTTTTTGTTTTTTAAAGAAGGTACGATTCATGAGTCCCTGCTTATGCTTCAAACTCAAATTTAGGAATATAGGATTTTCCCTTAAGTTTTTCAACTTTGAATCTCTTCTCTCTCTCTCTCTGTTTTTTTTTTTTTTTTTTTTTTTTTTGAGATGGAGCTTTGCTCTTATTGCCCAGGCTGGAGTGCAATGCCACCATCTCAGCTCACTGCAACCTCCTTCTCCTGGGTTCAAGCAATTCTCCTGCCTCAACCTCCTGAGTAGCTGGGATTACAGGCATCTGCCACCACGTCTGGCTAATTTTTGTATTTTTGGTAGAGATGGGGTTTCACCATGTTGGCCAGGCTGGTCTCAAACTCCTGACCTCAGGTGATCCACCCGCTCGGCCTCCCCAAGTGCTGGAATTACAAATGTGAGCTACTGTGCCCAGCCCCTTTTCTCTTATTCTGAAAACTGTTGGTAATGTCAATTACCCTTTTGCTCTATTCTTCAATATGAAAACTGTTTCAAAATAACAGTAACAAAATTATTACTAATAATATGATTAGTAAAAACAGGTTAACAACTCTTTGCAATTCTTTTGTCCTCAGAACATATGTACCAGGAATATACAATTTATGTGTTTTAAAGTAATGTAAATAACTCCTGGATTCAGGTAAAATGGTACAGTAGGAAACATCAGGAATCTGTCTCCCTACCTCCACAACAACTGCACGGGCAGACTCTGTCTGACGTCAGTATTTTGCAACTCTGGAGTCTACTGAAGGCTTGAGGTTGGAGCTTTGACAAGCATTCACTGCAATTTACTGTCCATTTTGCCTCTTAGCATAGCAACAGCTAACCATCCCCTGTTCCTAGCTTTGTGAACCACAGTGCATGTTCTTGGGTAGCTTATGCGGGTTGCTGGGCAGACTGTGCAAAAGCACCCTGCTCCTCACTGCTGATTGCTGTTTCTGATCACGGAAACAAATGATGAGGCTGGCAGACATTTTGTCATACCTTCTCAAAGGCTGCAAGACCCTCCCATTCCACTGAAGTGAATTCCAGGGGATTTAAGGCTAACCACCCGGCCCTCTTGTGATGAAGCTCCGCCTGTAATCCCAGCACTTTGGGAGGCCGAGACGGGCGGATCATGAGGTCAGAG